CGCCGCCGCGCCGCCAGCCGTCTCGGGCAAATGCGCCGCCTGCTGCGGGGCTCGCACTGCAGCGGCGGCTGGCCCCGGAGCCTTGGCGCTCCCCATCGCCAAGGCTGTGTCCGACTGGTGCACGACAGTCCCATTCTGGCCTTGCACGGCAGGGTCTCCGTCCTGCTCTCCTCCCCCTCCTACCCCCGCGGGGGTCGTCGGCGCAACCTCGGCGGCGCCCCCCGTCGACCTCTTGATAACAGCCGAGTAGTAATCCGCCCGTATCGCCGGCGCCACCTTCGAAAAAGTAACGGGTGGGTGGATTTTGTAGGGGGGGGGGTGAGGTTGAGGGGTCTACGGTTAGAAGGGGCGGGGGGTCCGTGGGATGGTCAATGTGGGGTGTGCGTCCGCAAACGTTGCGCGATTGCGAGAAGTGCGCCGACAGCCCTCGGGAAACCGTCTGTATAAGGCCCTCGACCGGTTGGAGGGAGGAAGCGTGGACGGACTGTGATGCCGCAGCCCAGGCGGGCAGAAAGTGAAAACCGCTGTGAATGAAGACATGAAACGGGTCGTGACAGCAGTTTGTTTGTTCAGTTCGCATGTGTTAAAGGTGAAAAGAAAAGACAAGCTTGTTCTCACGTGAAAAAGCGGCCGAGGGGATCAGGCCATCGGGTGTACTACAACAGCTTACGGCATCGAGGCCAATGCACTTACATACCCCGACAACCCGCTTCGGGAACAACATCCAAAATTGCTCACGAAAGAGTTAGTTGGGTTTCCTCAGTGCCATGTTCCGCACCTCGATGTAGCGACCCTTGATCTGCAGAGAGTACCGCTGCAGAGCCCCGTGGTAGTCCATCAGAGTCCCGAAGAGGGTGATTGCCCCGACTTCTCCGCCCGCTGCCCCACCCTGGCGACAGCCGATTCAAAGTGCGCAACGTTAAGAACAAGCAGAGAGGCAACGTGGTGCGCACGACCTATCGCTGACGATACGCCCCTACCGAATTTACACAAGTTGCACGGCAGTCGCGTAGGCACCTACGTCAAGAAGCGTTTTCGAGCTATTGTTGGTGCCGAATACATTGCTTAGTGCGTCGGCAAACACCGCATACGGTAAACCTGCGTAGCTAAGCCTGGGGTCCCCGATTTTCTCGCGGACATCTCCTCTAGCCGCCGCTGAGCCCCCTAGTACATTTACGCTTTCAAACGTCTAAAGTACCTTCTAACCAGTGGTAATGGTCCGTTTGAAAGAGCATTCGTCACTACATGAGAACACTGCTGCTGCACCGTGACAAAAAAACAGAAGTGAGTTGCCTAAATCAGCAGCAGCACCACACCAGTAGTCATACGCGTGCATCCCTGAACTTGGAACACGGGTACACCACCGGCATGGCCGACCACAAAAATATCAGATAGACAGACCGACCGAAGACATGTCGAGCCTGCACGTCAACGCCCTGCCGCAAACAATAGAGCAGTCAACCGGCAAAGGGTGCCCTACGCACATGACCATGGGCTCCCGAAACACACAAACCAGACCCCTTGAAAAAATCCAGTTACGTCTACTATTGTATATGTGCACCCCTCGACGTCGCGATCGATCCACTTGTGGTCACCTCGAGCACGATGTCCAAAACGGGCCCAAGACCGACGAAAAAGTCGAGAATGTCTTTCACGGACGTGTCAGCCGCAAGCCCCCGCAGCCGAACGCACGGGAAGTCCCCGAGAAGCTCGTTTTTGGAAGCATCGAACCCCTTCTGTGCCTCCCCCGTGCCCGTGCCCCGCGCCCCCAACGTCGCTCCTCCGCCTCCGATCTCTAGCCCCGCGAAGTCCTGCGTCAAGGCACCGCTCCCGTTCGCCCCGTCCCCGCCTTCTAGCCCGATGGCTTGGCCCCCGTTGCCCAAGCCTGCCCCTACCAAGCCCTGCACTACCCCCGAACCTCGCGCAGGGGCAGAGGGCGTCATCAAAGCTCTCCCCGGCATGCCTCCCTCCATGTCTAAGCCGTGGACGGGGCCCATCGCCCCGCCGCCCAAGCTCGACGCCAGCGGTCCCAGGTGTCCGATGCCGTGCGGCAGCCCTTGGATCCCTTCCCCGACCCCGGGATCCAAATCTCCCGGTACGATCACTCCCAAGGCATCGCCGCCGCCCCCCGATGGCCCCATGCCGTCACCGCCGCCGCCGCCGCCGCCGACTCCGACACTACCGCCCCCGTTCCCCGAGAGGGTCGGACTGCTCTCCGAGCCTATCCCCGCCCGAACTTTGGAGGCCCAGGAGGACGGTGCCTGGGGCGCAGGAGGCAGCAGCTCGTGTTTCTGTTGCTCCGCAGCCGCCGTCCTCGCTATCCCATTGAGCAAGGCCTTCTCGTCACCCGACGGTTCCCCTGCGGCTACTACGCCTCCATCCGCGGCGAGTCCGTTCAGGCCCTGGTGCCCGTTCCCAACGTGGTGTTGCGTGATCATGTCATCCATCTCTGTGAGAGGTGTAGAGGTGTAGAGGGAGGCGGAAGAAGAGAGCAAACAACCAAGAGACGAGGGTCGGCCAGTGCATCGCTGTGGAGGGGGCATGCGCTGACTTGGCGAGAAGTTGACCCGAATTCGCGGATCAATGCTGCATTGTTGTTACGGTTCGCTTGTGTGCACGGGACGAAGACACAGGGTGGCGGGGATGTGCAGGCAGCGCGGAGTGTTTCCGACTCAAACTTCCAAGTTGTTTGGGGCACGCCCTGCCTTCCGTCAAGTTGTTGCACTAGGAGTTGGATCGACAGCGAGGTCTATTTTTGAAGTGTGTCTCGCCGTACCACACTGAAGGAGACCAAGCTACGAATTCGTTGTCTGCTCTTGTTTTACGTACAACATGAGCTGACCGCTGTGGTTGTCAGGATCGTTTCCGACAAATCAAAACATCAACGTTACCTCGTCAGCTGTCTCTCGGAAACATCTCCCACCGTACGGTGTGCAACTTTTTCCTAGACGGTAATCGGATGCTGCATGTGAGGGAACAGCAAACATCTCCTTCGTGGGATAGCGTACGGGAGGAGGCGAAGCCAACACCGAGGATAGCAGTTTTTCGTGGTAAAAGTTCTATAATGACACCAATATTTGAATCTTTGTGTACCATGCATATTTTGCCGGCTGGCGCCCATGCAGTCACCACGAAGAGGCTTGAAAACAGAAGTCACTCACCCCGCAGCCCGAAGGTCTGATCCCCAAAGTTGAGAGACATGAACGATTCCGTGCCCAGCAGTGCCCGCGAGGACCGCGCTCTTGCTACAAAGATGGTCATCGCGTGCGTGAGAGGAAGACAGACAAGGAGGAGACTCAGATTTATTCAGTTGTCTTCGTTGACTAAAAAGTCATCGGTACACACACAGATCGTTGATCGATCGTTGAATGATGCCAAAACACTCAGACACACACGTGACGCATAGGACACAGAAGTGGTGCGGAATCACCTAAGAACGCTCTAGACAGACAAAAGCACGCTTCCATCAGGGATGGAACTTGTGTCGGACCAAGGGGAGAGGGGGAGAGAGGTGGGAAAGAGCGGCTTGGCGGGCGGAGCGATTGTTCTGCTGCCGCCGCTGTGGATGTGTCCGCGGATTCTGCTTAAACGGGATTGAATGTTCGCGCAGATATTAGGGCTCAACAGAGTAACGGCGAAGGCCCTTCTTTCGACCCCCAACCCAGTCCCTTACATACCAAACACGCACGTGTCGAATCTTGTTACCAAGGTCCTCGCTCAGAACAGGCTAGTCGCAGCTGTTTGTGCTGGATCAACGAGACATTTTGACGTCGAAGACGGAAATGTGTTCCGCGTTCTCTCTCTAATTGAAGTTCCTGCACCTCAAAACACGCAGAGTTACTCCAGTGCGACTAGCTCTCAAGACAGGGTAGTGGAACATCACCTTAGACGACGAGGTGCCAAGTCTCTCTCTGTTCCTCTCGCGGCAGCAAATGTGTTTCCTCGCACGTTTCTTCTTGGAGGCTCCGCAGTATGCAAATTTCCATCTCCCGGGCGCACATATTGCGTCCCCCCCCTCTTGTGGTTGCTTCGCTGTCCTTCCCTTCCAACAGCTTGCTTCCCCAGCCAGTTGGTCAGTCTCTCGCTACCAGCCCGCCAGGCATTGACCATGAATGGAAGGAGCTTGGAGCAGGCTAGGAATCTGGTGAAGACATCCTACATCAATCAAGGAGAGCAAGCTCTCAATGGCAGAAGAAAACAGGTCAGATACACAAGAGAAGTTGAAGTCCGCCAGTTGCGTGTGCGGTGTTGCGGGGCGTGGGGTGTCCTCGAGCGTAAGTAAGTGTGGCTGGGCTCTGTGGTATCAGCGTTACGAGATGGACAATAGGATCGCCTTGATCTCGAGCCTGGTGTGGGTTTGCATAAGTAGATATGACATGCAATAATAGACTGCAGGATATCATAGGATGTCTGCTGGTGTGTGCTGGCTAACGTTACTGGAAGTCTGTCAACAGATGTGATTAGATTTTTGGTGCTGCAAAGGGAGTGTAGAGCAAACTTTTCCAGCAACTACGGTTTTCCCCATTGGCCGTGGGCGTGTAGCGGTGCGCGCCACCTAGTCAGAAGTCGTCATTTTTGAAACGATCGGTTTCTCTCTGCTGTAGGTCGGGTTATTGGCACCTGTTTAGAACGCATTGACCGCGATGCGCGACAGCAAGTAATCCAACAACGGCTCGATCTATCCGGCAGCAGCTTGTCCTTTCCAAGAGTTCGAGTTTGACGAGGACCGTGGAAAACCTTAAGCTATTCATCAGCACTCCATCAGCACTCCACACTTCCTAAGCTGCACTCTTTGCCGAGCTACGGTTTGATTTGACTCGAAAGGGACGCATGCATTTGTTCTCCTACAATACGCAGGTTACGGCGCTGCTCTCCAACCGTCGTCTGCCGACTCGAGGGTGGGATGACGCGCAGATCGAGTACCTCTTGACCGAGATCTCTCTCATGGACAGCAATAACTTCTCAGAGAACGTGGGCGTCGGGGAACGAGAGGGAAGGGTGGGTTTGATTTTCAATTTTCAAAAACGCTGGGGGTGCTGCTGTCTACAAGCAGTTTCTGAAAGTACATGATGCTCACGCGTGTTGAGTTCCGCACAACAATGCGCACTAGGGGAGCCTAGCCCTGTGAGATCGACGAAGAAAAGCTGGCTGGCTCCATGGAGATGTCATACAAATCATCCTCAAACAGAAGTCGTGGCACGTGGGCACCAACACGACCCATGTGCTGGTATGCAACAGGCACGCCAGTTTACGACCGATTGGTGGTTGTTCCTAGAAGTTGGTTCTGTCAGCGGTTTTTTACAACGCCGTTGTCCGTCGCATTACCAAACATGTCGCTACTGTGTGTTACTACAACGCACCGCTGTTGCTGAGTACCTCTGGGTTTATCCTAGATTCAGCGTCACCCCTCCCTGCCGCCTTTGTACGCATGTTCAGGTGTATTCTGGCTTGGTCGCAAGACGAAATTTCCGCCTGTCACACGGCGTGGGTAGATCGGGAGACATCGCCGAGGTCCAGCCGAAAGCCGCTGGGTCATCGTTGCTGGCCAAACTCACACATGCGCTGGCGAAGGATGCTTTAAGGCTAGCGGGGCTTGGGAATGCTCGCGCTTGCCTTGTTCTGCCCATGGCCACCGGGTGAGGGAGTGCCGTGGATGAAACCGCTGTCACAACGGCCAGCCGCTCAATCGAGAGGCGGTTGGCTGCTATGCTACAACGTAGAGAAGATTGAAGATTGAGAGCTCTACACATGCGTGCTGTTGCGGCTGCATGTGTGTAGCAAATATCCGCTGGGAGGGGCATACTGCCTACCAGCCCTTCATATTTCCAGGAAAAAAGTTATTACAATGAGCACGAGGCCTTGTTCTCCCGCAAAGTTTAAGTTTTGCTGTCTTTGTCGCTTATCGTCAAGAGAGCGCGGACTAGCCAGCGGAGCAAGCCGTCTGATCCTTCCTCGATGCTCCGTCCTCTTGCAATCCAGCATGTCCTTGGCTCTAACGTTCGCAGCCTTGCGGGCTGCCAAGCCCGCCGCCAAGACGATCGTCTGGCCGAGGATGGACCAGAAGTCCTGTTTGAAAGCCATCGTGGCCGCCGGGTTCACGCCGATTGTTGTGGAAAACCTCATCCAGGTGCATACTCTGTAGTTCAACACAGAAAGCTTGGTTGGTGCACGTTTCGTTTTTGGTTCCTTAATGGATCCGGTGTCCGGTGCGGGATGATGTTTTGTGGGACGGGAACCTTGCTCGCGGGACCGAAGAATCCGGATGGTTCTTGTCTCCGTGCGACTCTTGGGCATGATGCGAGTTAACACGCTTCCGGAAAATTCTCACTGCCTCCTTTTCGCACGGCTCTTGAACCTGCTTGTCGTCAAGATTAGGGCGACGCGGTTGCGACAGACGTGGACGGCGTGAGAGCGGCGGTGGAAAGCTGCGGCGCGGAAAACGTCTTGTGTGTTGTCACGACAACCAGCTGCTTCGCGCCTCGCCTGCCCGACAAGGTGTGCCGTGCACTATTAACCACATCATGATACGCTTATGCATACCCACAACACAAACTTTGCATCCGAGTAGTCGAGAATGTGTTGTCCGGTGCATTCCGCAAACTACGGCAATCGGTGAGTTCCTTTGCTCACACGTTGGAATCTGTTTTCGCAAAGTTCTGGCTCTCCTTGTGTAGGCTGCTTATGTCCGTGTAGCCGACTGCCGAGGGCCGTTGTGTGGCCGCAAGGGGTGTCCGAGAAGCACGGGGGGTGTAGTGTTAAGACCAACTGTAGACAGAAGCAGGATGGTAGGCCTGGAGGCAACACAACACCCCAACCTGGGCCGGTAACATCGGGTAAGCTCTACAGCAGTATGGTGAGAGAAGAAGGACCAACGATGGCAGACCCAACATGCTTTGCTTGCACACGGAACTGACCCATGCATGTGACGGACGGACATGAAAAGACAGGAAGCACGATAATTACAACGGACGGACAAACGGACGGATGAAATTAGAATAAACACATGATGAAAATTCGTTCGGACGAACGGAGTACGATACTTGTAGCATGGACAGTTCGTGTATTGTACAGAACGGTGGTATTGGAAAGATAGCACGCACCATTCGTGCAACAGACGGACGGATGGGCGGACGGAAAAAGGGAGAACATTGCAGACACAACACGTGTCAGACGGAGCAAACACCGAAGGAGATGGAGAGTATGCACGAAGGAGACCCGAGAAGATCAACACGTCGAAGTTGGAAGTAGTGACAAATGCACCTTCTCAATGGACGAGAGCTCCAACAAAAGAATCACGAGCAATACGAACGACCCATGCACTGCTATTTAGATCTAGACAACACGCGATGAAAAACACATCGACAGAACAACAAGCGCAGACGAGCAAGCAGCACGCAAAAATAGAGGGCGAGCTGGTAATCCCGAGCCACGGAAGGCTTGAAGACGCAGGGAGGAAATCGGTGGCAATTTGGCGACTGTTTTGTGTTGACGTCTTCGGCATCTCGGACTGTCGCTCTTCCGAACGAGGCCTCATCACAGCGCCGTGAGACGAAAGCGAGCGGGAACATTGCGATGCGAACACTGATAGTTTCATCTCGTTATCGGAGCTACTATTTCACTCGCCCGCTCGCAACTGTGGAACTGTGGAAGTGGATTCGTACAGGCAATCGAGAAGGAAGACGGTGTCCGCCATCATATGTTAATAAGCACTACGGTCGCTTTGCTTCTTTCAAGTTATCGATTCTGCCTGACTGCCACTGCCGCTAAAGGTCGACGAGGTTGCCCGCATATGCGCTGCGAGCGGGGTAGGGCACGTCATCAACAACGCCTACGGAGTTCAATGTTCCAAGACATGCCGGCTCGTCAACAGGTAAGCAAACAGAGAATAAAGTCCCACGCCAGGCAATGCGGAGTTGCTCGAAGGAACCCGGGGTCAAGGGGTAGACTACTCCACCATCACGAACAGCTTGCATGGCTCAGCGGATTTTTTTTTCACCTGCAGTGTCTCGCAAAAGGATGCGTGTTACCTTCCGAAACCATGTCTACCAAGTGTTTCCGCTTACGGACCCTGTGACTCACCGACCTTTTTTTGGTGGCCGTCTGCACATTTTTTCTCGGGCGTTGTTTGCTTGACGATCCCGCCGGGCAACACAAGGGCGATGGCGGTAGGGAGGGTCGACGCCGTGGTCCAGAGCACGGACAAGAACTTCTTGGTTCCCGTCGGCGGAGCGGTGGTGTGCGGACCGGACGCCACCTTTATCGAGCAGGCAAGGGTCACCCCCGAGGAAATAAGTCGCCGGCAAACCCCTCGTGTGTTGTTATCGCGTCCGGCCATCTGTGCTCCGCACGCTGTTGCGCTCGGCGTAGATCGACGTGCCCATGTTGCTGATCTCGCAGAACCGAAGACTTTTTTTTCTTGCACAAGAGCGTTCAACAATGGTTGCGCCCCGTGTTTCTCTCTCTGTGCGCTGACAGTCTTGAATCAAATGTGTCGCCTCCAAAGCCACCGTCCGCCCTCTCGTCTATTTACTGTTGAATGGCAAGCACAGGTAGGTAAGAGCTACGCCGGGCGTGCAAGCTCTGGGCCTTGCCTAGATCTCTTCATCACGCTCCTCAGCATGGGACAAGAGGGGTGGAGGCGATTGTTGGCGGAGCGCGAGACTTTGGTAGAGCCTTTTCGGTGAGCAAGGCGACCTGCCGGGAGAAGGGAGGAGAATCATCCATTGGTTGAGAGGTCTTGACACACCGCTGCCCCTTCCGCAATCGTTATCGATGTTCTCGCCGTCGTTACAGAGCTTGAGATGTAGATGTGGTAGATCGAGTGTCGTCTCAATCAGTGGTGGTCCTGTGTATCGTGGCTGCGTATTAGTCCAACATGTCGCCCAACCAAATGGTGCTGGTAGGTTGCTGGTTCCAGCGCGACTTGGCCTTGCCGTTGTCTTTGGTTGTAGCATAACACCTCTGTGCGTCTGTGCGCTTGGGTGCTCGGTGCTCGGTGCAGACGGCGCTTACGAGAGGTGGCGGAGAGCAACGGAGAGCGCCTGCTCGAGTCAAGTGGTAACACCATCTCCTTCGCCGTGACTCTCGACAGCCTGGTTCGCAAGGTGCGGTTGCAAAGATCGCAGGAACCAAATGTTTGCACTGTTGAGTCTAGCGTGCCGTGTCGCCCGTCACCGGAGCATCCTCTCACTCCTCGACAGTGCAGTTCCAACTTTCCGTGGCATGGTCTTGTTGGGGAGTGTAGCTGTACGGCACAGATGGGGTACATCTTTGTCCAGAAAGGATGTGGGATGGCCGGGAGGTGTACTTCTGAGGGACCATACCACCATCTGGACTCAGCTATCTGCGTACCCCCTGGTTGGAAGGTGGATCCCCACCTCAACCAGAACTTTCTCTCAATTCAAGCAACATCAAATTTCTACACAATCGTGGAGGCAAGGCATCAAGTGGCCGTACCTCTTTCTTTACCCTAGGACCCAGCTGCTTCCAACAACTGGGGGCACCTTCATAGTCTGCCTTTCGCGTACAGCAGGGACAATGGCATTCGACTGCTTCGTGAATTGTGCGTCCAAGACTTACGAGAGAAAACGTCCTGTTGGCGTGCGTTTCATCTCCGCCGATTCTGTCTTTCTTTTCTCCTGCACTACAAAGTATCCCTTTACAGTATGACAACAGGTCTGTCCCCCCCCCCTCTTGTTGCCCGCAACGATGCGTTCGAATGCCAACCCCCCTTATCACCACACAGCAGTCCACGGCCGCGTGCGCGCTGGAAAGCAACGGCGTTACTGGCACAGCCTCCGGCGCCCCTGCTTCGGCGGCCTTCTTCGGGTCTATGCTCTTCACGCGATGCGTGTCTGGCACCCGGGTCGTCCCGCGTGAACAGCACAAGTGCGTGGGCGGCATCGATTTTAACGGCTACGGGGCGAGCGTGACCGGCTATCCGCACGACTACTTGACGGCGGCGTGTGCCGCAGGATTGTCCACGGAGGAACTTGACGAGTTTTTGATCCGGCTGGACAAAGCCCTTCGAAAGGCCAAGGCCGAGAGAGCAGAGGCGTTGGCAGCGCCTCGGTCACAAGATGGGAAAACGGAGGCGGGGGTGACCAATTCCACCGCAAACGGTTCCGCAAACGCAGAGCCAAGCCTCGTTGGGGTAGCAGCCGCTCAAGACGATGGGAAAGAACGTGCTGCAAATGGAGAGGTGCGAAGAGATACTCCCGGAGCGACAAGCACAGGTGGTGGAGCTGAACAGGGGGCGGAGTGCCTAGAGGCTCGAGGCGACGACGAGGACTGGGACGACGTAGATTAGCCCTCAGGGAATGTGGCGACGACCCGTCTTGTTGCGCCGTTTTGGTTAGTTCAGTTTTGGGCAAATTGTTCACAGCGCCGCGTTCAAGAGTAAAGAAGAGAGCTCCGTGCTCCCGTATTTGCTAGCATGCGCTCTGGGGTGATCGAACCCTTGTGTACACGCCTCGCTTGAATGGACGCTGAACGGACCCTGCCCTTCAGATCATTCCGAATGGGAGGAGCGTATGGGAGTAAATTGTGTCGTATGGCACATTTTCAAGGGAAGCTACAACTCTTGTCGAACATACACACCCCGCTAGTTGGAAATTCTCGAATCCAAGATTCCTTCCAAGAGCTGGCAAGATTTTGAAACAATCAGCCAGATATCCTCGTAATCTCGGTGCGAGAATAAGGAGCCCAACTATCTACTCTACAAGTTCTCGCGGCTACCCTTTATTCCACGCTACAACCTGGCTTACAGAAGAGGCGGAACCTGGACATTAAGTGCCCCCTCACAGAGATTTCCCCTCAAACTCAAACCCACCCACGCAGACAAAAGAACCGCAAGGAAGAGTAGGCTGGCTACCGGTGATGATTTCCGCCCACGAGGACCTAGCCCTCCCTGGACGGCACTACCCGAGAGCGCGAGCGGCAGCAGGGGGGAACCCTGAACAACCTGCAGAGCCCAGATCTGAAAGCCAAACCTTTGATCTACACCGTCTCTGATCAAGCACGCGCACAGCCTTACAACATGACAGGAAAACTGGGGAGGCGACCTCCAGCTTCACCAAGCCTACTTCTCGCATCCACTCAACACTGCTGTATTGTCATCCACAAAGACCCCCGGGGTTGAGGTTACCTCCTAAAAGCCCCTTAACGCCTTCAAGGTTGCCACAAATACTTTATTTCCCTCTTGCTCTTTCGAAACCGCCGACAGAAAGGAAGGATGCTTCGGTTGATGCCGGGCTTACACCCGGCCTACTATTTAAAAAACCCCAAAAGCAGTGCCTTCTGTTACTCACGTTACCAACAGGAATCAGGCACCGACCCCACCGACCACTTGTTGTAAGGTGGGGCGCGCGTTGCGACCGAAGGTGCGAACCATTCTCCGTAGTCGGTCAGCTCACACCACGCAATCTGGCGGTCTTCTTGCGGGTGGTGGAAGCCCGGCAGGACGCGGCCTAGCCAAAGTAGTCGTTGCCCCCTCCTTTGCCCTCACTCTGGAAGACGATGGTGCTATCCTTCAGGTTCATCTTGTAGTAGTTGTAATACAACAAGTAGTCCTGGCATCCGGAAGAAGGCCGTACAGGGGGAATGGAGGCGGCGGTTCAACTACATCAGTCGGCAACCACTGGCAGCACACCCGAGGGGCAGCGGGCACCGAAAGCTACACCTTCAAGGGGGGGGGGGGGCAGGGGGGGGATGCACTCCACCCAACAGGGCCGGGACGAGAGATGCCAAAGTGTGGCAGCAGTACTACCGTAGGTTGCGTAAGATATCACATCCCCAGGACCGATTTTCAAAGCTCGATTAAGATCACTCCACGACCAAGAGGATGCCGAAGGCAAACGATACGTGTTCGGAAAGCTCTCGACGGGATGGTTCCAACTCCGCGATGTTCGGCACTGTCACTTCCTTCCTTTCCGAGTACTAGCTTAGAGGAGTGATATCATACGCAACCTACGGTGTTCCGAATGAAACACTTCCCGCCCAAAGGTAAGCCGAATTTGGCATCCGTCCGGGCTGCTATGCATGCACCTGCGCGGGGTTTGAAAGTGCCGCAGAGAGAAATGAACGCCACTTCCAAATCTCACCTCCAGCAGCTTTTCCCAGCTCGTGGCGGCCGACAAATAGGCGTTCACCTCGTGGTGAACGAGCATCTCGCGGTGCAACCGATACCAGCCCTGTCAAATCACAAGGGGCCGGGAACGGTTCAACGTCGTGTCAGAAGCAGTAAAGCATGATACAGGACCCGCGCGACTCCAAAATGAACGCAACACAGACAGCGGCGAGCAAAACTCGTCGGGCTTGCCAAGCGAGCGGGATATGACAAGAGGTGCCCATTTCTTCCGAGTAACAACCGGGGTTGTAAGGGTGCAGGAGCAGTCGTGGAATTCGTGCCGTACGTACCTCTTGGTTCTCAGGAAGAACGTCTTTCGTGCTGAAGAGGGACCGCAGCGTCTGTGCACGCTTGTCCAGCTGCGTGTTGATATCGGCAGTTTCCGATACCACAGAGGACAACCCGGCGCTCAAGTAATCCTGAACAGGCCGATCGGAACAACCACGTCGGGCAAGTGTGAGCGGCGCAAATGTCGTGCGGGGGGAGTTCAAAGGAAGCGCTACATGTCCTCGCAGATGTTGTATTCGCTAGTGGGGTTCACAGCACCGCAACCAGACACAACCACCCGTAGCTACTTTACTGGGCGAGCGCCACAGTGTTTCGCACTTGGAAACGAGGGCGCGTCTCGGAGGGAGCGTTCCAGCCACGTTCGAGATGAAACACAAGTACCTGGCTCTCTGTCTGTTCCACGTACCCCACTTTTAGAGGATAAATAAAGACAGAATCGTCACCTGGAAGTGCTGGATCTTGATGCGGTGTGCTTCTGCGAATGCTTGCTCGTTTGCTGCAGATATAGAGGTAAATGAGAGAAGCGGGGGACGACGACCGACGGAGCGGGCGGGGAGGGTTGTCGAGGCTTGGTTGCGTTTCGCAATCAATATCCCGATTCGGTTGGCGCACTTAGACAATACCATCTCAAGAACTCCAACACTTTTCGGAGAAATCGAGATAGATTGTTAAATCTGCTCAAAAGTTATGGCACTTTGGGCCCATCCCGAGGGGATTTCGTTCGTTTCTACCTTTGCCGATTTTCCGGGGGCTCGGCGTCGGTCGCACAGCCGACACGTTTAATCGCCCTTTGACTAAGCCTAACGTTGATGGACGGAACAGGTGCTGTCAAGTTATGACTCCTATTGCAGAAGTACCGTTGATCTTGGTCTCGCGCGATACCACATCATGAATGAACGGTAACGTTACAGCGTAGCAACGAACGCGTTGTACTCGCATCGGCACACTGACGTCATGCACACCTGGTAAACACAAGTCGCACCAGTTCACCAGCAGCTCCAGGGTCTCCCTCGCCTCTGTAGCATGCGGTACAACCGCCACGCGGGAGACAGACCACGGTCAAGCAGTGTGACTTTGCGAGTGTTAGAAACACAAAACTCAATATGCATACGTGCAAGGACACCTTTAGCGTAGGGTACTGAACACCCACCGAAAAGGCAAGAGGGCATGAGCGACTGTAGGAAAGAGTGCTGGACCCACCAGCACCAAAGCATGGTATCTTACTCGGTTGGGCATGAAGGTGAAGCGTTTCCAGACAAGACCCGGCGATATTCTTCATGTAGTTTGCCTCAATAAACAACTTCATATCGCCGGAGGTGGTTTTTGCGAGCAAGTGCGACGCTGTAGTGTGTACCCTCCATTGTGTGCTCTCTTTTACCATCTCTCTTTCTCTCTCTGTCTCTCTCTATCTCCTCTTATCATTGCCTATTCTGCTTTCTTCTCTTCCTCTCTCTCGATTGCAACGGCATAAACAATGCTGACTTACCGTCCAGCACAGACAGAAGGTCCTGGCTGACGCTATAGACCTCCTTGACCTGGAAACAATTCGCCTTCGTCACGGCCTTGTCGAAGTACTCGAACACCTGATGATCGACAGGATGCGTTCACGCCGCCCCATGCTGAGAGAAGTTTTGCCAAAGGCAACCAAAACAGACATGGTTGACAGGTACCGCTTCACACGTACGCATGCAGGGCACGCGGAACGACACACGTCAGGTTTGGGTAAAACCACCACAAATCGTTGCCGTTCCTCCAGACAGGTAGTCACTTTGGTCGAATCCTCCAAGTGCTGCAGACGTCGACTATAGTATATATGGATGGTCAGATACAAAACGTGAACATTGTAATAACTTGGCGTCTCACAGGACTCGCATGTCTACTGCTGTCCATAAAACTACATTAGTCTGGTTGTGTTTGGCGCAAAACGATCGTGAGCTAGCCGACCCCACCTTGTTTCTTCTGTCCTTGGCAAGGCTGTCACTGGCGAACAGCGTGAGCACCCTCTCAAAATCTTTCTTTCGCCTCTCCCGCTGCGCTGGCATTTGCTTCATCATGTCATGAATGTTGGCCTCGTACACCTTCGACCAGCACGCACGGTACAACAGCAGGGATCCAGCGAGAACAGCAGCAGGCGCAAGCGGGGGACGGCAACCCCTTCGTGAGGAGGTACGGTGTGGCGTGCGCGATCACGTGCATCGTGTCCTGCCGTTGCGTAGTCGAAGTTCGCTTGGCGGGGGCAGCAAGTCGGTGGTTGCAGCAGTAGGCGGGCTACCGCAACAGCAGTAGTTGCACACCGGTGTTGGCACACCGCTCACCGACTCAGCAGTGGTCGACAGATCAATTTCTCCCGCCTACACCCTCATGTACAATTCTTGGGTTGATGACCACAACCGGTCGTGCCCACTCGTGCCCACTCACTCCCGGACTCTTCGTACATGTAATGGCCCCGGCTTCGGACCCTGTGTTTCGACGCTTCTCTTTGATTTGTACCCTATTTTGGCCACTTTCCTCGGGAATGCAGCGCCTTTGGGTACAAGCCGCACGCCTCTAGTCGGTCGGCACTAACTAACATAGGCAACCCGTGATCCTATTCCTTAACTGAAGCAGGCACTGACGCTTGGATGTGTCGGATATGGGAACGTGCTCCTAGGGTGGTTGTGTGTAAGCAGAGTCTTACAGCAGTTACAGCAGTAGTAGGATGTGCCGAATGCCGTGGGTGGGTGACCTCTACACCTAATCACCCCCTGGGTTGCAATCACCTATTCGGCCACTCCTGAAAAACCAGGAGCAATTATGTAATTACGAGGGGATGAGCTCTGCTGTTGACACTACATCCTACTGATGCCGCTCACAACGAGCCGAACAATGTCACACCGAGGAGCGCTCGTGCTGCAGTGGCGATCAGCCGTTGTGCAGTGTTGTGCACCCAGGGGCGGAGCGTTTGTTCGAGATCAGAAGGATGTTGTGACTACAGAGTTTGCAGATATGCTACACTGCTGTACCGCTGTCATTTTCCAAACATCGGACAAGCGGTCCCCTACCTAGAAAGAAGGAGACTCGCTGGAAACAAAGACATATCGGGTGTTCAGCTAGCTCACTACCGTTGAGCATTAGAGCGTACGCAATTGCTAGAGGCTTCGATGAGCTTGTCATATCCGCCATACTTGTTGAATCCCACCTTCAGATCTGATTCTTGCGTTAAAAGCCGCTTCAACCTCTTCTGTGAGCCCGGTCCATCTTCCAGCAGGGCATTATCCACGTCCTTTCGCTTGCCCGAGATGGGAGATTGGCTTCCGTCCATCATGCAGCTGAAGCAGCTTCTGTTTGTGTTGTGTGTGAGGTGCTCCGCACTCTCATAGCAGTTAGCGGGGGCTCCGTGACACGGAAGTGTAGCCCGTGCGGTACGCCTCTGTTCCGCGTATTTCCACATTTTTTCCCGCGTGTGTGTGTGTGGTTTGTGGGCGCGAATATTTGCAATCCATGGATTATAAAAGAGAACCACAGTCCAAACATCCGGACGGATCGAAACCCCGGGAAACCGCCCGGAGTGTCCCCGAAGAGGTTCTCCTCTCTCCCTCTCAAATTCAATATTATCTCGGAGCCTGGATCTAACGCCCGTTGTCTTCGGAAGCAGAGCTCTCGTCTGCAGCAACAGCCTCAACAGTCCATACTGCCATACTGGCACATATTTCACGCCAAGGCCACCCTTCGCACCCGGGATGCCCAGGAGACGCTAGGCCTCAGAGGAACAGGAGGACACGACGACACACAACGCCCCGTACTTAGAGGAGTGCTCGTCTCTCTCTGTGTGTGTGTCTATCCGCGTGTGGTGCTGCTGTTGTTGTGCGTTTCTGCTGCTGCAAGCAATTGTTGCTGTAGATTTTGTGAACTACATACAGCAGTATTCTTTTTTTGGTAGATATAACCTGCTGCACGGTGCTGCCGTGATGGATGTCAGTCATCATGGGGCCGTCAAAATCTGTAGGCATCGTTTAGTTCGCACACCGCAGGCCCGCTCAACAAACTCGAGACGCGGCTCACACGGTTTTCTTCGCAGAGCACACAGGTCGACAAGCACAGATAGACGCAGAAAAAAACAAAACAGAACAATCAATATCCAACAGCGATTTGATGATAGACTGACCCCCACCAAAAAAATGAAAGGACCTGGATATGACCCCAACACGGCAAAAAAGGGGGCGGAAGAAAGAAAAGAAAAGGAAATGGAACAAAAGAAATAAAAACAGGACAGGAACCAGATGGCCCCATCGAACGCTACACCGCAACAACCAAATAGACATACAAACACAAAATCGACAACATCACAGACGGCGATCGGCGCAAAAACGCCGAAGCGAAAAATAAACAACACACCGAGCCTTGACCTGCCGCCGGGGGGGGACAAAACATCGTTCAGGCATATGCCCCGGTGACGTCGTAAACCTAGGGCCGCGTACCGCTACTCACGTACCCCAAAGTATGCAACACCGAAACTAGAGTTGGGACCCCGAAGTCGCGGCTCTCTTGCTACCCCCTCTTGTGTATCTTTCTGCAGCGCCAGGTCGTCTTTTATTACTTGTCCTAGCGGGCAGGCGAACAGTTCCAGGGTTGGCCATGAAGAGAGCCGCCCCCCGCCCTCCCGTCGTTGTAGTTCCTACCCCGCCTGCTTGCACATTGACCATCGTCAGAAATTGGTCCACGAGGGCTACGGCGACTGTCGGTGAAAAGCGATCAGACAAAATACTCGCGGCTTGCCCGAGCTTCTTCGTTACGTCGGCGTACAACACTTGTCTATCCTGGTCCGTGGGCCCCTTCTCCTTCAAGTCCAACAGGACCGTCTGCACCGTCTGGCTGCTCCCAACGAAAGACTTCCATCTCCCGCTGCATCCCCCCACCCCCTCTCCCTCTCCCTCTCCCGCCGCCCCGTCCACTTCTCTCGCAGCGTGGCGGTTGGATACCACCCACCGAGGGTTGTAAAAAGACGGCCAGTCCTGCTGCGGTGTTCCCCTCGCCTTTTCCGTCAGCCAGTGCTCGTGCAGGAGGCCTACGTGGAATCTGAATCGGGGGCTGTACATCATCGCCGCCCACACATGGCGACAAAATAGCCTGAGAGTTTGGAGTGTGCGGCACTGGCAGAGATGGCTACCGTCGGAAAAGAGCAAGACGAGGTAGTCGAAGGCCTTGTCATCACGCTGCTCGTGAATCCCGAAGACGTAAATGGCGTCGCAAAGCTTGTCCTCGATGTACTCGAACGTGCGCCCCGAAGCTGCCGCGCGTTCTGGTCCATCCACCTCCCCACCACCCATCTGGCAAAACGTGATGGCCGCGGTCATCTCTTGCTCCATGAACCGCCGCGGCCAGCCCGCGATGGAGAACTCGCAGGACTCGAGCACACTCTTGAAAAGCGGTCGCTGGTGGAGCCGCCATCCGATTAGGCGGCAGATGGTCGATTGCGTCACGCAGCATGGCGGCATCCTTCTGGGAACAGATGATGCCCGAAAAGTACTTCGCCACGTCCAAAAGCGAGGAGCGCGAGTTGCACCTATCCCTGATGAGGGCGTTTTGGCCTGTTGTGTGTGCGGCGGACAAACACGCAAGAAGCGACACACAAACCAAACCGTAGGTTAGTGATTGGTGTCATCAGACATCGTTGAAGTCGCAGTACGCCAAACGACTGAAAGAGAAGCCTATGACTTGACGCCACCCATCGCCACAGATGTATGTACACGTGAGCCGGACGATCGCAGTGCACCGACCAAGTACATCAATCCCGAACAACAGGGGCCGGACAACAGCCACATGTTTCGAAGAGGTCGTAAACATTAGCGTCATGTAGGGAGTTGTTTACTGGTCATCCACTGACGGCGTACGATAAATTCGTCCAGAAGCACTCACCAATGGCATAGTAAATAGGGGGCAAGGAAGATAGCCGCCCCCAACCCCTACAGACGTAGAAAAAACTCCCAAAAACAACGACAACGCTATATGCGCTGTCGTTCTCGAACAAAACGCTCATGATGGCAGATGACGCATACACGCACCTTCAACTCTTGATGTCGTCCACGAACCCACGGAGAACACCAGGGGCGACACATATTCCGCCCACCGTGCACGGTCGTCATATACTACTTGCATGTACTTCTCCGCCTTCGGGTACTTTTCGATGAGGGCGTTGAACTTCCGTTCGAACTTCGCCAATGACAGCTGCTGACGCACACACCTGAACTCGTCCATGAAAGGCTGCGGAAAACACAAACGACGTGGGCCGGGTGGGTGTTGCGTGAGTTGGGGCCTTTGCGATATGGGCTACCGGTCTGTACGATTGACTGCCACCAACAACCCCGTACACTTCGTTAGCGCTAAGGCGAGACGAGGAGAGGGTTGAAAAAACTCAGCGACATACCATTGGTGCTTACAACCTGCTGCTGCTGCTGCTGCTTTTTCTGTGTGCACTGGACGTCGTGAGGTATGTTTCCGTCGAAGCCGAGGTCGTCTCCGCATCACGGTCTACGCAGAGACGCTGGATATCACTCTTCCAAGTAGGCGACACTGATCCATGACAACGCACCAACTCGCACAGGGGATACAAGCGGGAGTGGGGGAGGGGGGCTAGAGTGGGCAGCGTACGTCGCGCGACCAGGACAATACGAGAGGCCAGACTAACCACGCCAACACACACAGTAGAGCGCACCTTCATGTACCCACCAAGGACTTTTAGCGAGGGCCTTGATAACGTTCTGGTTGAGGTGCCATAAATTGCGCCTCGCCAGCGCGTCCGGGAACACCTCTCGCACCGCCGCCGTCATCGCCGCGTCCGCGTCCTGGATGAAGGTATCCGGCTGCTTCCCGCGAGACTCCAACGCACTCTTCAACATCCACAGGAAAGTGTCCGTTGTGGTGTCGGCCGTTATGCTTTGGCCGACGATCCGCGTCCGATACTCCGAATCGACGACAGCGAGCACACCGAGAGGCATACGGTATCTGTTCTTGACAGCGGTGTCGTCGTAGAGCGCAACGTGACCGTACCGATTCCAAAGCGCCACCTGCGTATTCGGAGCATGACGTCGAAGGGGATCGAGAGCACTTAATTGTGGGTGTGACGTGTGTTGGACGCGTCACAACGCACCCCCACCCTTGCCTACGGCGTGCTTTCGGTCAGACGTCCTACATTTGCGGACGGCGAAGCGGTACGTGCGAGATGCTAAAATGAAAGCAAACCTTCCGGCTGGGGAATATTCGTATGGGGCACAACGACCGGCGACCTACCTGCTCTCTCGTTTGCCACCAGATGTGCGTCAGGCGGCCGCTGTCATCCATCTTGATCTCGCACACTCCGCCGTCGGCCGTCGCGGCCATGACCTGAAATTGCAACATGTTAAGCGCCCGGAAACATCGAGGGCATCAGCGCAAAACCACGACGACGGCACGGCACACATTTTTTACCTCCAACATTTCTTGGTTTGGTGTCATGGGGCATATATTCTCCCGGTTGTCACCTGCGATCGTATGTGTCTTGTCGCCCGGATACCGCCTTGAGCAAAACCCAACATCCCACACACAAACAAGAGAGGCAACAGTCTCAACGGACACATGGACACACCTCTTCGTACGCATCGGCAGCATCTCTCGGCTTCTCCGCCCCGTGGCACAATGGCAGCTGCGTTCTGCACCGCGCGCTTGTTGATGTCGATGTCGCTGTCCTCGTGCAACGCCTTCATTGCTTTCGTCACCTCTTTTGGCTTCATCCCATGACCTGCGCCGTATGGGAGAGCCGGGAGCACAAAAATAAGTGGCGTGTCACAGACAAACAGGGTAACAATGTGGAGGCGACAGCAGTACCACGCTTCAAGGGCCGTTCGTCATGCGGCATCATGACTACCAACCATGACAAACCGTGGGATACGACGGGAGCCACTGTAGACCTACTCCAACGAGTTCAATCTTCCTTGCCCCATATTTGATTCACAAGACAAGACAAATGAAACGTTTCGCCGTCCACCGCTGAGTACACGAAAACAGCGAACCGAACGTGCACGCGTTGAAAGGCACGAGGTGCAGCACAGCAGGGACAATCAATTGGCGTGCTACACCCACGAAAACAATGGCAGGGCCTCTACAGGGAGCCTTGATGTGGACCGGGGGAATGCCAGATACCGGTGCTCTTTTCATGGGGCCAAGGGGAACAGCAGCAGCAACATCAAGTAAAGCACACAAAAAAACATTGTGGGTGTCACGCCGAACGGCACGTGTCAAGCACCAACCCGTCTCGCCTGCGTTTCCGGCGGGGGGCTGGTGGTCAATGTCTGCTGCTGTTGTTGCTGTACGGGGTGGGCTTGTACAGGGTAGCCCGCAAAACCTCCGGCGGCCCCAGCATCGGGAGCACCCACAGGGGCCGGAGTTCCCAACGGCAGACCAGTGCGAGGTGAAAGCATGGCCTGCAACCGCACGCGAAACCCACCACGCGGCGGAATGGAAGGACACCATGTCAACGTTTGATCACAAGACAAGACAAATGAAACGTTTCGCCGTCCACCGCTGAGTACACGAAAACAGCGAACCGTACGTGCACGCGTTGAAAGGCACGAGGTACAGCACAGCAGCGACAATCCACTGGCGTGCTACACCCACGGAACAAACATTGCCGGTGTCACGTCGAACCGCACTTGTCAAACATCAACCCGTCTCGCCTGCGTTTCCGGCGGAGGGCTGGTGGTCAATATCTGCTGCTGTTGTTGCTGTACGGGGTGGGCTTGTACAGGGTAGCCCGCAAAGGCTCCCGCAGCGCCAGCATGACGAGCACCGTAAGAGGCCGACAGAGCAGCACTGGATGGAAGCATTCCTAGCAATGACACTACCGCACGGCAGGCCACGGGTCCCACGACGCGAACATGGAGGGTAGACACATGAAGTTAAGGGGTTGGGCAAGTGCGTGCACAATGCCTGCACCTCTACCAGCCCAGCACTGCTGTAGCACCACCATACAGCCGAGCAGCCAGAAGAAAAGACTCCGGACTATACGGCAAGGACAACAGGCAGGGCCTGGCCTGGCCTGACCACACCAGTGCAGGCACATGATCACCAACGTACGTACGACGGCAACAACAGGTACAGAGCAGCATCGACACGTGGGACAGCATGAGGGAGGCTGCAACACAGGAGACAGACCAACACACACATGGCGCTGGTGCGGGTGCGGCCGTTGCTATTTTATTTCCAAAAAAAACATCACAGAGAGGGTGAGGGTGAGGCACAGACACAGAGGATGCACGGACGCCTGTCGGGACGGGATCTCACCAGTTATCGTTGTGTGTTGTCTCCTCGTCTTCCCCCAGCGTGCGGGTGCGTGTCGCCGCCTTCAGACGGCTCTCCGCCGCCGTGATTATCGCTGCTTTTATAGGAGAGGGAGAAGAACCTCTTCGGGGACACTCCGGGCGGTTTCCCGGGGTTTCGATCCATATGGATGTTTGGACTGTGGTTCTCTTCTATAATCCATGGATTGCAAATATTCGCGCCCGTGGTTTGTGGTTCGTGGTTATTCGTTTCGTTTGCCTCTTCCACCGCCGCATTGTTGTAGTCCACAGAGAAGTGAGGACAGCAATAGTAACAGTTGCAGCAGTGATCCAGAGGAGTATCAGCGCTCTTTAGGCTGCCAGAAGAAAATGGTTCGAGTTCCACGTGTGCGTCCGCTATACTCAAGTCAAGATGAAAAAATTATCTTGAAAAATCTGAACATGAACACGGATAGCGGGGGGGGGGGGGGGGGGGCTCTCTGGTTTTCCTTTCACCCGGCGAGGCATTATCTCTCTCGATATACGACACTTTTGCTACCTCTGCAAATGATACTCTACTGGCGTACTGTTGCAGAACCCTACTTTCTATTTTTCCGGAAGAAAATCCGCGCACAAACGAGTAGTAGGTAGAAGCCTCACAGCCTTTACGCTTTATACACAAGCAATTGGCATCCAAGCCGAATCAAATTAAATGTGGTTCGCCAACAACGCATACAGATTCGACAGAAAATGGACGCGATTGTGTTTGATACCACTACGTTTATTTCTGATCAACCTCGGTTGCTGGCAAACAAACGTGAGATCCAGCAACCTACAGACAACTTCGGCACATCCACTCCACGCCGCCTAGGAGGTAAAGTCCTTTTTGGTATCATGTTGACAATAAAAACCACCACTTCGATGTATAAATGATACACACAGCTGGAAAACCTCGCAATAAAAGCGCACTCTTTTGCTGTTCCAATACAAAATACCGTCGTTCGTAAGCTCTCTGGACTAGCTTGTGCCCGCACCTTGTTTCACAGGCAAGGTGAACCGCTGGCGGCAGCTCAAATACAAAGAACACCCCCCCCACACACACAAAGATGCCTCAAGGCGACGTCATAACATCACGTCCAACGGCTGCAAAGTACAGGTTTCAATATCGGCATCTATCTTGCCAAGGTCTCCCGCCTCTTCCCTTTCCCATGTAGACACTGCCCTTGACAAATCAAATCCATAAAAATTGTCAGCCCTCTTAAATACAAGTCAGACAGGGGACCAATCAAGGCTCAGGGCATCGGTCGCTCGTGTCCAGGTCCGATACCGGCGTAGCCCCCCCCCCGTCGCTCTTCACGCCAAGCTTCCCACATCGTTTCGATTCAAGCAACGGCACAGCAGCAGCCGCAGGCCCTTTCTCAGAAACGTTCGCCGCAGGCGACCCACCATCAGCGGTCGGCTGGAGCGCGGTGGCCGCCTCACCGCTTTTGCTCTTGGATTGGAGTTGGCGGTGCGCCGGGGACAATATGTTCGGAGTCATCTTGGAGCGGAAGAGAGAAGCCTCCTCGGGGTTGTCCAAGTCCCCCTTGTAAAGAGAGTGAGACGCCGAACCCCCCTCGGCTGCGACGTGCATCAACGCTGTGCGCACCTTCACATTGCACAGGAATGAGCGGGTAACGAGCGTGTTGGTTAGCAGTTGACTTTTTGCGCTATAAACATCCCGGCAAATAATTCTCAACAATATACTTCGTGAGGTTGGTCAATCTTCGACCCCTTGGCCCGTATGTGGTCACCTCCCAAAACCTAGCCAGAAAAGAGTGTGCGCAAGCATGTTAGCAGGAAGTAGAACGCATCGTTTAACACAACATCACCAGACATGTCTGACAACTTCGTGAGGGCCAGGCGCAACACACTGCTGTCCGATCATCTCGAGTTGCTACAATTCGTGGGACGCGGCCTCACAGACCCTGGAAGAACAGCCATGGAGGCCGTCGTTCACTGAAACCAGCCATGGAGGCCGTCGTTCACCTGAAACTCCATTTTGATGCCGGTCGGATGTACCACCGTCGTGTGAACACTCCTGTAGCCATTTTTCTTCGGAAAATCCACGTAGTTCTGGCAGAGTAACAGGGGAACATGAGCGGGAGTGGGGCGTGGTGTTGCTCAAGCCCATGCAAGGATGCAATAACCGTACCGACACTGTGACGTAGAGGGGGGGTCTTATCTGGACGCAGATGTAGAGCTGTTGGCCATACAGATACTCCTCTGAATCCTGTACACTAACTTCATGTGCCAGGAACATATTGCAACATTTCAATCAGTTCCGAGTAGGGTGGTGCTCGAGAGTCTATTGTCGTATCGGCACGGATGTTCGCATAGGGTCAGGTCAGCCGCGATCTCTCCCGACTCCAACAGCAACCTTCTGGCCATGCTACGAGTGGGTCAAAGAAGTGCGCGGTAGTCACACCGCAAAGCGAGAAGCCAAAACCGGGATATCAATCCTGCTTCCCACCTTGAACCTCCCCGGCACTTCCTCAAACAGTCCGACCAAGACCTCGTAAACATCGTGAAGCAGGCGGCTGTCGGCATCTCGGTACGGCGGCGGGAACGTCTTGACAGTGAAGACTGAACGCGCCGGCCTCGGCCCACCCCGCCTTCTATCATCGCCCGGTCTCTTCCTCGCGCCGGCATTCTCGGCTTCCTCCGCCGTGTTCCCCCCGGTTGCCGATCTGGTTCGTCCTGCTCCGCCGGTGGCAGAGCTTGCTCGTGTGCCAGGACGTTTCGGAGCAACGATGATGCGGAAGCCTATGATGTCGTGTACGTCATCGGCGCGCTTATTCTGCCGGAACACCTGCGGAAGGCAGGGCACCCGGAAGGAAGCAGTATCCAAGCTGAGGTGCAGTAGTTCGACTATATAATAGAAGCGGCTTCATCTCAAGTCGTGCGTGGCGCGTGAACATTTGCAGGACTGGAGACCCTTGCGAGTTGGACTGATCGAAGACGCCCTGGTAACATGCAACGACAAATTAAGAATCAACGACGAACCTACTTGAGGAGAAAACATCAAGCCGCTTCCGAAATTCCAGCACAACGGGCAGAGCGGTACCTCGGCTGCAAGGGCTAACCCCACATGTAATAGAAAGAGAGTAAATACAAGCGGCGTTCACTTGTACAACGTGTCGTTCTGCGTCCCTACAAGGGTGTCGCGCATCAGAACAAACAGGCCCACACGATTGGTTGCAGATGGACTCTTCGGCGCTCTTCCGACCTTCCTAAAGGTGCTCACGAGCGCCTTCGTCCGCCCTTCCAAGCGGTAGCTGTGCACTCGTATTGCGATATCCTCCCTCGCGTGTAGCGCGTCCAGCATCCGTGTCTTGACTTCTCGGACAATGTCATGGCTTTTGCCCATCACCTTGTCGTGGAGGGCGCCAGATAGAATCCGCATTAGAGAGGGCAACAACCCGCAGCGAGAGTAAGTCCAAGAACAACCGCTGGAGGAGACGCAAGCGGTACACACATGGTATGCTAACACGGCGTCCACACGAAAGTGGTTCACGAGACCACACGCCGACCTTCCAACGAAAACTATTGCTGCCATATCCCATGCAGAAAAATGAGTGATTTTAGTGTAGGGATCACGAATTGCTCCCAGACCCGGGTGGTGCGGATTGCAGTACAACCACCAAAGGATCACGCCACGTAAATCGCGACAATAGGGACAAGGAAACTTGATAGTTGCCCCTCCGAGCAACTACAAAATGGTGACAATCCATCCAAGAGCATCACCCAAGCCGAGCTCGTTGCTTGCTCCAACCCGCTCCGTGCTTTGCACACACGAAAACATCATGCTGCACTTCACATGCGCAACGATCATGCGTGCCACTTACATCGTGATGCCAGAGTGCCATGTTGGAGTAAGTCTGCGGGAATATCGTCTTGTACCCAAGCTCCTCCAGCTCGCGAAAACTCGATCCCAATCCCAATGCGTTTGAAACTGGGACGTACAGCTGTTGCACGCGATTCCAAGGACAGGTGGGAGGGACTTGGTTTATACGCGGTGTTTGGTGGCGCTGCGGCAAGAACAAGCGGTTCGCGTCGCTAACTTGTCTTGCAGTGGCGACTATCAATAAGCCCTTTCCTTGCGGAGTGTTCTCCGAGCTCTTGAGCAGAGTCAACGAAGGTCAGCGCCAACTAGTCATTCCGCGCGTCCTCCGCGGTGACTCTTGTCTCTGTACGTGGTGAAATCCACGCTGCGGGGACACTGGTTGCGGTATCCTTATCTGTACCTGAAGCGCCTCTAAGGCGAGCGTGTGTCGTGTGTGCGCGGGCGTCTTGCTTGGATCGCGCAGTCGGCATGTGAGGTCGGCCATGTGAACAACCACTGCACGCGCATCCCTCGAGGAGTGTACCTGGCGAAAAAATCGATAAAAATCAAGGGATACCATTCGAGACAAAAAGTCTTGGCAAGATACGTAGGCATCCTGCGTGTGGTAAGTGGTGGCGCTATTTACTGCTCACGCGGCGCGGTACCCTTTGCCTTGACTGCGTCACAGCCCGCGCTCGCTCCATCGAGTCATCATTTTGCCCTCAAAATTCCAACCTTTCCGGGCCACACATGCGGAAACACGTGTACGAGGGACCAAGCGGCTAAAAGACGCGTGTACCAGTGCTAGTGATGTGAAAGGCAAAGACCCACTGGCATGTTTCCTTCAGCCTTAAGCCTCACCAAGTAGTCTCGCATGAGCTTGGCGTGGTGGTCGTCCAGGTCCAGTACCGGTTTCACGCCGAAGGACTGCGGGGGTGAGCAGGTAAACGCAGACCCGGCGCGGGCACGGCGGCCATGCATCCGATGCGACACACGTACATAAAGATACATATCGACAGCGGTAGAACAACAAAATAAAGGATTTACGACGTGTAGGTAGATACGCCATGCCATCATGGGGTGGTGCGCGCCAACGCGCCAACGGATCAAGCTGGAAAGCGGTACCCGGCAGTTCTCGACCAAACGCCATAGGAAACCAGCACCCTTGCAATCACATGTCACCTGTTGTATCGATAGGTAGCTCGCGGCAGACGTTGGCTGCGGCAAGCGCTCCAGCAAAAGCCTGTCCTCCACAATGCCCCGGATAATGGGTCCGAATTGCTCCTCGATGACCTCCAAGTTGTACCTGCCAAGAATTGGCAAGAAGCGACGTGATTCCTTTTATAGCGGCAGAGGGTGTCTCATGCAGCAAGGATGGAGTCAACAATGAGGCGTCTGGCTGCCGGAATTCCTTGAGCGGTCGGAAACGGGAGCACCGCAGGTACAGGCGGAGCATGCATGCAGTAGCCCGACTCAGAGCAGACAAGCGCGACCGATTGATGCGTCGCTATTCAGAAAGACGAGCGGGTACTGACGAGGCTGTCCGCGAACAGAACAGGGTAGAGCAGCAGCAAAAGCTTCGAACAAGGTTTCAATTTGACCTCGGATTTCGCGAGCGGCCATGCCTTCACCTTCCCATGGGGTTCCGAATGATGCAGCTCGCGAGCGCAGCCACCAGGGTGTCCACGTCGGCGTGAGCTCTGACCAACACGCGCAGCATCTCCAAAGCTTTCTCGAGGTCTTTCGCCGCCGAGTCGTCGACTGGATCGGTTCCGGAGCCAACAGCTCCGGGCTCCGCAGCCGCTCCCGACAACCAACGTTCCCGGGCGGCTTCTTTCTCTTCCTCCGTGACACCAAGACCAGCCCCGGCCGTTGCAGTCGGGGCCGCCGACAAGCCCAACCAAGCCTTCCCTGGCGAAGGCGCCGCGGCTCCAACGTTGTGGTTAGGCCCGCCGTCGGTGGGGGGTGCCGCCGCCGAGCGTGGTGATTTGTCGGCTGCTGGCATGTTTGTTAGCTGGCGACTCGTAAGAGCCAAGCTTTGTTCGACGTCTACCAGCAGCCGCGACCCCGTTGAGAGCAGCGTCTTGCTTCGGGTTAAGGCGACCTCGGGGGCCGTAACGCCTCCGTTGCCCGACCTGGCGGAGGCGGGTCCGACGTTGGCCTGCTCGGGCAATTGTTGGGGCTTCTCATCCAGGGCGGTGCTCATGGAATACCACCGCACGAACTCGTCAAATGACACCTCGCCGTCACTGTTAAAGTCCATCTCCGAGAACGCCTGATCCGAGGTGACAAGAAAATGACACAAACAGCAACCGCCGTCCGACGGACACATGTGTTAGAACCGCTGTGCATCTCGGGTACGCAGATGTGGGAAATAGCACTAGGCGCACTACATAGCAAGGCGTTGTCACAGGTGAAAACGAACACAGGTGCCAACACTCAGCAGCAGTTGCACCTACAACAGAGAGGATGCAACACCCGGAAACCGGCTGTTTGTACATACGTACCTGCTGCGGATTCTCCACGCCAGTCTGTAGAGGGTGCTCACGCAATGCCGAATAGGCCGCCAACACGCTCAAAGCCTGTTTGACCTTCGCCTTTCCCTCTTTGCCCAGGTACTCAAGCTGGTTGCCTCGACTGAGCGTCGCCCACATTTGCTGGATGAGCTGCTGAAAGCGAAACGGAGCGCTGCCGTCCCCGACGCCGTCCTCGTCGTCGCCGTTAGCCTGGCTCCCGACAACCTCAACGAGCCCCTGGTTCAAGTGCTCCTCCCGGTTGCCGAGACCGGGCAGACCGGGCAAGCCAAGAGATGCCTGAGACTCATCCAGCCAGTCAGAAAGCACCACAACCGAGTCTTCGACGTCGTCCGTAGGACCCTCAACGCCAGCACCGCCACCCCTGCTGCTGCTCCCACCGCCCTCTGCAGGAGAAACACCTCGTCTCGGCGGAGTCTCTGCGAGCGGAGGTGCTGCGGTACCAACTTCGTCTTCGAAATTGTCCGCTTTGTCAAACGCAGCGCTTCGGCACACCGCAAGCGTCACCGCGGTGCATTGCATAGAGTGCGCATGCGCACATCTTCTCCTGTTCGGGGCCGCCCTCGGTTGTTGATGCTGCTGCTGACGCTGCTGCTTTCGATGGTGCGATGCCTTTGGTGTGACTGCTGTTGTTGCCTTGAACGACCAGCTGGGAGGAAGAGCAACAAGCAGAGAAACCGCCAGTCGAACCAGATACCTGCGCCACCGACAGTGTGCGGCGTCTCGCACCGCCAGACTCATGGACAACACATCAACAGCAGCGAACCATCTACAGCAGCAACAGCAGTGAGTTACTGCTATACCTGTTGTTGACGGGCATGATGACACGCACTTGTTGACACGTGTGAGGGGTTTCGCAGATTTACAAACGATGAAATAGTACCCCCATACGCCGAGTTCAATTGTGAATTCGCGTCACCGCTTCCTTGTTCGCGCGATTTCCGTCTACTAGCACAAAACCAAAGCGGGGACTAGAGAGCAGAGCGAGCAAACCCAGCGAGTCGCACGCCGGCCGGTGCGTGTTGGCGGCGGAGAAAGGGAGAGAGAGCGTATTCAGCACTTTGCACGTTGCAGTGCCTTGCGCCAGTTCTTGGGCACGGTCCGTGCTCACTCGCTCAAAAAAGGGCAAACGGCCGTTTTTTCAAAGGAAAAACAGCAACAGAGAGGGAGGGTGGCGGCCTACGGCACAAGAGCGTTCGTTCGCGGGGGTGGGTACACTCTGGCGTGTGGTGAGCAAACCCCATGAGCTATGTCAGGTGAGCAGAGGCGTTTGCCGTGGCTGCTGGTTGCAAAGAGAGCGTGGTACTTGGATGGAGGCAAAATGGGTCGGCGCCCATCCCGCCGTTCTCTCTTGACGAAGAGTGGTCCTCGTTGGATTGGGAAAAAAATGTGTTGCGTCTCTCTGCGCGTGTCAAATGCCGAGGAGTTTTTCTGGCTACATATGCATATACCTCGTATATGCAGATGCACATGAGGCAAAACTGCTGTGATAAACGGGTGGTGAGTGGTGCAGGTTCTGCCGTAGCAGCTTGGTGTCGCGCGATAGGGTTGAAGGCATGGACTTCGAAAAAATGCAAACCTCACTTGTACCACGGCCTCTTCCGTCGCTCCCCTCCAAATCGGCGGGTGCTTTGCTGCGTCTGGCAGCAGGTCAACGAATCCTTTTGCTAACGGACCAGGTTCACGAGCATCCATGAAATCAGGTGGGATTTTTTTACTTACAGTAGCCGATCACCGCAGTCGCAGGGGAGGGCACCGCTTAGATGGTAGACTGCTGGCAAGGGCATGTCCGACCTGGACGACTTCGACTTGAGTTGCGACATGCCAAAGTGCGCGTGGTCTACAACAATCCAGCAGCAACTCATTTTTTGTTTATGCACAAACCAGTGGCGCCCGAAGCAAAAGCAAGACCCCCTGCCAGGGAGAGCTCACCCACAGACTTGTCGAAGTGCAACCATGTTAGATAGGCCACAAGCACAAACATGCAGACAGCGGCAGAGGGCGCGGCCGCCGCGAGGCTTTGCTTGCCTCCTAGGGCTTCTCCTCCTTCTCCGAACACTGTTCTTTGTTCGACGCCGTCCCCTCCACACCCGTGCAAGTCATCCAACAATCCACCCGCGAGCGTCTCTTTTTTACGTGTCCGATTCCATCATATTGATTTTTAAATAGCCAACCGTCGTTTTTTCCCGGCGGGCGCACATGCGTATGCAGATGTGGTGCAAGTAGTTCAGACCGCACATTTTACGCGCCACCAGTGATGGCGTCCATAGGAAATTGACCTGTGTGTGGCAGGAGTGCACCGCCCGAATCGACTCGAGCGTGAAAACGTTTGCACATCCCCCAATCCCGCGTTTGTTGTTGGAGACTAAAAAATATTTGAATTAAATTTGGCCTGTCTGCGAGAGTACTCTGTAGTCGATCTCCCCAGCGCGCCGCCATTTTCTGTGTTCGGCTTTCGAGCACACGTCCTGGGTTTCCCATGCTACTGCTGCAGTGTGCATGCAAAAGGCGGTTTGGAAACACTCCTTTGGCCGTTTCCTCCTCTCCTTGCCCGCACGCAGCTACGACATCGCCCAGCCGAGCATCCGCCGTGCCGTCGGCAATGTCGACCATGTCAGGTTACGGGGGCAACGACGGTGACTCCGATCAGGTGTGCACCGCTGAAGTAGGCGCACCCGGCGCACACAGACGTTGGTTGCTTGTTTTTTATCCTTTCAAAACGCACCGAATTCCATCTCCTTTCACAGCGGTTACGAATTTCAACATTTCCAAGTCCGTTCGGGGCACCGGATTTGGATAAATACCAGTGACAGCAACGGTTTTTCCATCGGCGGGAGTCACGAGGCGACCCCTTCGATGTTCAATGTTCCGTGGCGCCGCACAAGGCTGCTGCGGAACCAAAACGTTGCTTGCAAGGTGCAACTTGAAAAAGAATCTGAAAAAGTTCAGGCCAGGATGTGCATATGCATATTTAAATGGTGACATACATTATAATAGCCCCGACGGGTGTCCTCACGTATTTGTTGTTTATATTTGGAATTATTTATGCATATTTTATTATAGTTTGTTTTTTCTGCTTCCTGCCATGGAGGCCAACATCGACCATGGCCTAGGCGCCGGCGGTTGACAATCAGAATCCAACCTACAGGAAATGATTCCATTCTGGCGCGAACGCATGGGGATTGTAGGCGGTTCAGGTTCAGCAGGACGTTTAGCATTGGACGGCAGTTGGTCATTCGTCTAGAACCCTGACGATGCTTTTTCTTTTTGTTCTCGCAGGACACGGAGACGGAGAGCTACGTCAACAACGCCGAACCCTGGAAGCAAGGCGTCGGTGGCCTCGTGGCGCCGCGCACGTTTGCGGCGCGGTTCTTCGTTACCAGGTGCGCATGCATGTTTCCCTATTGGGACCTCAAGGTTTGCACTAGATGGATGTCAGCCGCCTCCGAGTCCCCCCCCCCCGTCCCCCCCTCGTCCTGCGTGCGCGCATAGGGTGCACAATGGCTGTTGTCTCTATCTCCAAAATCAAACGCTAGCTAATCAGTACACCGGTTAAATGTTCCCGCACAAAGGTTGGGCATCGTATTGTCGTCGAGTTGTCAACGTCGGGTTTACGCCTGCATCCTCACTCTCTCTCTCCCTTTCGCTCTCTCGTTGCCCTGTTTTTGTTGTCCCAGGCTTGGGTTCATGCGTCGTAAGTGCAGGCGAATGATGGCATTCACATCGGACCGCCTGTTCATCGTTAGGGTAGACGACGGGAAGGCTAAGGCCAGCTACCCGCTCAAGAGCGTGCAGCTAGCGCCTTCGGACAAGGTCAACCAGGCGAGTGTAAACTCTAGTAACGCCCATCTTGCCAGTTTACACCGCTGTATTGCTTGGGTCACAGGTTTCACCCGCGTGGTTTTCTCGAGCACATTTTCCGGAGCCGTTTGCTTTGGTGTATGGGTTAGTACAGTGCATTTGTGGGATAGGAACATTTTCTTATCAAGGGCAACTTGGTGACAATAAGGAGAAGCCAACGTTGTGGGCGCGTGGTTTGACGTCGTCGCTGTTGTCGCTGTGTCGTTTTTTCAGGGAAAGGGCATCATTTTGACAAGCGACATCGGCAACGTTCGTCACTCGTTCAAGTGCCGGAACCGCACCAGCCTCTTGGCGGCCTTCGCCGAGCTGCAGGTGAGAGGGGTCATAGAGCGAAGTTGACGCCTGCAGTCTTGTACCACAGCAGTACAACGAGACATCCTGTCGTTTGTCGTGCCCTGTTAATACCTTGTCTTGTGGATTCTTGAGTCTCATGCAGCGGTTGTCACCAGTGATGTCATGCGAAAAATCCTCCCCTTCGTCCACTGCACGAAGTCGTCGAGTACGAGGCCTACACCACACCACCATCCCTTCCTTGGGCCTATCTACCGAGACCTTGGCGCTCTACTTGGTATACAGTCGTCCCTCGGTTCAAGGCAAAAATTTTAAGAACACTCCGCCGGTGAAGGAAACCTTTCTGTTCACAGGCATGGTGCCTCACAGAATGTAGAACATAGGGGGGGGTATCAATCTAAGGGACACCTGTTTCGACGAAAAACCATGTGTGTCCTTTACCAAGGGACGACTGTATACCCAACCGATTGCCATGTCGGACACATCATTGTAACAGCTTTCTTTCAAACTTGTTAGCTTTGAAACTCACGGCCCCGGTTCGCCCGTGTCTGTCCTCTTTCTTCTCTCCTCTCCCCTATTTTTTGCTCTCCGCCCGCGTGCAGGATGCGGCACGGGACCGGCCTTTAAACCTCCTGTTCCAGGTGATCAAGCGCAGCAAGACTCGAGGCGACGTGAAGATGACCTTGCGGGTGGGGCCCACTTCGCTGGATCGCGTCGACGGGGAGCGGCTGCAGCACCGGGTGTCGTCTCTGCCTCTCCTGAGCGTGGAGAAGGTGTACCTCTTCACCGACGACGCTACGCAGGTGGGATTGTTGTTGTTGTTGTCTTCACTTGACGTCCCGTGGTCACAACTAATCTACCCAAAAAGGTATACGAGAATATAATGGCTCCGAAGGGTCCGCAAGTAAATAGAAATAAGCATGCCGCGGTATTGCTCCCTGTTTCGGACTTGTTGCTCGCTGTGTTGGTGAGTCGGGGCTGGAGCGTATTGATGCTGGATCGAATCGTCAGTCGTGTTTTGAAAACGGGGATCTGACCGCTTACCCAGCGTGTGAGCGGCGGTAAGTGTTGTGCACTCGGCGACCTTCTTTGTGTGCCCCCAATCTACTTCGCCTCCGTCAAAAAGGTGTGTTATCGGCGATGGCAGCCTTGTCAAGGCATGTCTTTTCCATGCAGTTCAAGGTGTTCCTCGAGAATCAGCCGCTCTGTACACAAGACACACATGGCATTATTTCTCCTCTTGGTGTCACTCGTGTCCCTCACTGGCTGTACCTTTCCGTTGATATTTTTTGCCTTGTCCTTGGAGCAGATGCTGGTTGACTGCCACGGGGGCCGTCGTCGAAGGTACTGGTGTGCGGCGCGTGACTCCCTTGTTAGGGCCATGGAGGACCATCTGAGACACCTCGGCAGGACGGGAGATCAGCCGCTGCCGGTGGAGAGGGTTGGGACATGGGAAGTGAGTCAGATAGACAGGAAGGGAATTGTTTCGGGTGTGTCACGAAGAGGTTGCATGCGTTCGTTGTATGTAGGCCTTGCGAGTCGAGCTCGCTGGTGTGGCGAGGCTTTGCGTTTCTGGTTTGAGGACCGACGCGCCCGTGCACTGCTCTTCGACGGAGCTATAGAATTTTGCTCTTTATTGAAAGAGACACCCTTGTTGTTGAGAGGGTTGATCGTGGAAGCAAACTCACTTCGCTTCCAGCGCGGCATGAATATGAGAAAGTCGTGCCCGTTTCGGCTATACTCTTGTGCTCCCCGCAGGTGGACACTTCGACGCGCAACCCCGAGAGCGTGAAGCAGGGATACCTGTTCGAGGTCCCTGTTCAGAAGTGGAGCCGCACCGAACGGGCGTTCAAGAGCCGGCTCTTGGCTCTGACCAAGTCTTCTGTAGTCGAGATGGACGTCGCTACCAGGTCCGTCAGGACTGCTGCTGCCTCTCACTAAGGCCTCTCACGCTCTTGGTGCTTCTGTACAGTGCTTCTTGTCGTTGTGTTCGACCAAATCTGACACCAGTTTGCCCTAATCAAGTTGGTAGGACACGTAAGGTCCTGATGATGCTGTTCGATAGTGCTGGGTGGCGGTTTTACGTGGACAAATTGGTTCCGGTAAATCGGGTCGAGCGGTAGCCCTGTCTCCCATCGGAAAGGCACCACAACACACCTGAAGGTTGTCCAAATTCTCACTGTTACACCTCCCCCAAACACTTTTTGCGTCCGTTCCTGTACCCCTCCGCGCCTGCCTTTCCCAGGGATCACCTGAGGGAGTTCCCGCTTGAGATGATCTTCAACATCGTTTACCACACGCCTGACACTGCGCCGAGTACCCCCGAGGAGGGCGAAGAAGGTTCGCACGGGGACGGCTTGAGCATCGAGGTGCAGATGGCGTGGGGAGGTTCTTCGACCTACAACTTTCAGGTACAGTGCAGCCATTTCTGCGCACCGTGTAGTTGGTTAACCGTCACGCAGGATGGTTGTGAAGACCATGAATTGATTTGCGTTTGTTTAGTGTGTTGGCGAAGGAGGCTCGGGAGGAGGTATGATGTTACGGTAGAAGTGAGTCAGTGGGCGGACATGGTGTGCGGTGGTCATCCTCTAGTCTCCGCCGATTGTTTAATCCCGCGACGCAATGGATAGTTTTTTTTCCCACGGCTTTGCGTACGAACTCTCCCCTTTTGTTCCCTGCGGCTGGGGTTTGACATCACAACTTTTTTGTTTGTGGGCTTGCTGGCGACAAAAGTCGTGCCGCTGTTCTGCGGTGAGCACAGACTCCATCCTGGCGTTCGTTGCCGTCACGGACGACGAAGTCTCGCTCCAGCGGTCCCGCAAGGCGGAAGAACGCCAATTCCGAGGGTCTCACGTGCCGGACTTGGCCACCTTGGCCGAGACAGGGGGGGCTGGCGCGGATGGAGTTTGCGGGTGAGTTTAGTTTGTGCTTCTCTATGCTCCCGTATGCATTTTGTATTTTTCCAGCGGTTTTCCTCGAGACGGCGGCAAGAGACTACAGCAGTACTTACGCGTCGTGTTTTTCTCGTTTTTCTCGTCGAGTGGATTGTCGGGCCGAGGAACGCCTGCGCTGTTGATCGCGATGATGGCGTTCCAGTGTAGATAGCCCCTTTGAGTTTGTTTTAGCCTTGGGGTTTCTCCAGTACAGTTCCGCTCTCACAAGAGTGCGAGCAAAGAGTGCGAGCGAGCCATCGCGGCAGTTCCGACACCGAGGTGTATCGACGTACAACGCTCGTACAAAGCCCGGATGAACAATCGAAAAACTGCTGTTGATGTGGTCGTTGAGCAACATCCTTTGCCATCGCCCAGTATCGTTTTACTCGGTCACTATATTCTCCTAATCTCGACCCGCATTTCGCGTCTATGCATACAACAGGTACCACGACCTTCGTCTCACGGCCGTGGAGGCGCGAGTGCACTTCCTGGCCAACTTCCTGGAAGTCTGCCGGCTGAACCACCACGGGTGCCCTTGGTCTCTCCGTCGGGTGACCAACGAGAGCAGGGTCGGGGAGCTGACGGAAGGACTTCACCCGGACTACCAGGTGCGTGCATGCGTGTGGTAGTGTTCGTGGTCACTGCGTCTCTACGTTTATCTTTGACCACGGCCTGCGTACTGGTGTTGCGTCCGATGAAATGAAAACGTATTGTCCGTTGTTTTGTTAAAACTTGGGGTGGCATGTCGTGCTTTTTTGCCTTTGCATCAGGACCCATCAGCAATCTTAGCGTTTATATTTTCGTTGCCTGTGTAATTTTACTCGAATGCCTGACCCGCGTAGATTTCCTGTTTTGTTGTGGTGTTTTGTTCTCCCGGGGTCATTTTCTACCATCTTATTTACGACCCGGTACCCATATGTTCCGTGTTACTTAATGGTGTTTCGCAGGAGTTCCTCCTCAAGCGTACGACGGGGCTGAGCGCCATCGCGCGAGCGGGGCCGGGAAAGGTCCTCGCCGATCCCGATGCCAGGGGGTACGCCCTCGCCGTGTTGGACGAGCTTAACTTCTCGACGCCGATAGCGTTCAAGCAAAAGGAGAAGGGCGCCGCAGCGGCGGCGATGAGCCTCTTGGCACCCTCCGCTCTGCAGGTGCAGCTTATGCGGTCGGTCTCGCTGGAGTTCTGGCGATGACGTTTTTCCGTTTTCGCTTCGTTTTCGTTCGCGGGGTCCTTTCAAGCGCATGTGCCGTTGGAAAGTCATGCAAGTGATTGCGATTACCATATCTCGGACAGCCTTGCCGTGCCAGAAAGGTGTCGTGGCTAGGGGCTGAGAGTTTTTTGGGTTCGGATGGAACGTTCAAGGGATGTATTGCGGCTTTAAATGCAACATTGTAATGCCCAATTGTGCAGTTTTCGTGAACTTTCCGCACCTATTCTTCCCCTTGAAGCAAACCTGTGTTGCGATGCAATTCGCGGACAATGTTGGAGTGTGTTCGGTACTGACGCCAATTTGTTGGATGCGTTTTGTTCATGTTCGTTTCTTGTTGACCCCCAACCCCGCCCTTCTCGTCTCGCCCGGACCCGTTTGCTTTGCTCGCTTGTGCAGCATTTCGATGACAGCGGGCGCGTGTCTCTCCTCCTCGCCGTGCTGCGGCTCCTTTGGAGCAAGACTGGCTATGACGAGGTGGCGCGTGCCGAGTGTCAGCCTGCCATCGACGGTGTATTCAAGTGCCTCGAGAGCGAGGACCACACCGTCAGCTACCCGGCGGCCCTCGTGGTACGTGTATGTCGTTGTTGCAGCGCCTCTGGTTGTTGATTTCTGTTCTTATTGGTGTGTTGTGCGCTGTCGTTGTGTGGGTTGGGCTCTTCGACATTCGGCCGTCGGCCGAGGGCAATAGCCGTAGTGTATACGGTCATCTCCGTAAAAATCTCGGAGAAAGTAAATTTTGTGGAAACCCAAGGAGGGCCGATTTCGTACACCACGGCACCGCACTACTTTAACCGATTCTTGTGTCACGCTAGCACACCACCAACCACCCCCCGCCGCTGTTAAAAACTTGTTCGCAGATTCGGTCCATGCTAACGCACCCCCGGAAGGACTCCGCGTGGTGGTCCGGCAGCGGCGATGGTACCGGTTCCGCAGCGTCCGACGAGGGGCTGGGAGCCGACCGCAGACTCGAGAAGGCCAACCGTAAGGCCATGTTCGGCCAGGGCAACGAAAAGAATCGCCTGGAGCAGCTCCTCGCCCCATGCTTCGCCGAGTGCATGAAGCCGGACAGCATGGACGAGGATTTCGGGAGCGACCTGAGGTAAGAGCGAGTGGTTTTGAGGTGCTTGGAAGGTGTTTGTTGAGTGATGTGTGAGGCGTCATGAAGTTGTAGCGCAAGTTGTTGCTGCTGTGCGAATGTCATGCGGGATTAGCTTTCCGTTGGCACGAGGTGATTTTCGGCGTGGAAGACGTTCACAGAACGCTTTTGTCTCGAAAATATTGTGAGTTTTTCGTTTCAATCGTTTTTATGACCATTCTCCACCCCTGCCTCGCGTTCTCACAAATGCCAGCGACAGTGACGGAGAGGGTGAGGGCATCGACGGCCCTGGCGGGGAGAGCAATCACCCCCCGGTCACCATGGCAGGCGTCGGTCCGCCCCCCGCCGGCCCGGAGTGCCTGGTCCAGGCCGTCCTCATGGAAGTCCTGGTGATCCTCGTCTCTAGCGGTGACAAGCAGGCCGACCGCGCGGTGGTAGAGGCGGTGTGGGAGCTCTTGCACGAGTTTGACGCCATGTGTCGCCTGCTGTCCAACGTTCGGTCCCCGTGCCTGCCTTTGGCCAAGGCCTCCATGCAGCTGCTTACCAAGATGCACCACAGCAAGAGGTTTAGCATAGGGCCCCGGTCCGTCCTCCAGGTGAGCGTGCGCTTGCCGGGGTGGCGTGTGTTTCGGTCCGTTGCCGCTGTTTTACAACCCTCGTACTGTTTTGTGCTGAACAATGCTTGTTTTCACGAGCAACAGGAGCAGGCAGGCGTTCTGAGACACTTGATGGCCGTATGTATAGGGATTCCATCTCTCTCCGTGTGGTGTGGTGTGTGTTTAGCATTCAATGTTGAATGCACCCCTGTTGCGCCAAGATCCGTTCGTAACCCTCCCGACGTTGACTTGGGCCCATGCGCAGGACACGGCTAGAGACTCCGGAATCCTCTTGTGGGTCATGTTCCTCGCCATGGATGCGCGCGAACCCGACATGTGCCGCGTGGCTGGGCGGCTGTGTCGCGCCCTTACCGACGGCGATGCCCGCAGCCTAGGGGTGCTCACACGCTCGTTTCCGCCGGGGCTTCTGGCTCCTTCTCCGCCGGACCAGGTGCGGACGTCATGTTTTGTTTTTCTGACATTGATTTTTTACGGTTTATTGTGCGTGCGTGGTGCTGAGTGTGTTTTCATGTGTAAAGCCTCTCACTTCGTTTGCTTCAATCTGCTGCTGTACCTGGCCTTGTTTATGTCAGGTGCTAGACTTGTCATGCATGGGAGAACAGAAGATTGTGTTTGTTATACATACACATGCTCCTTGGGTGCTGGCATGCGACGTGTTGTTTTTATCACGTTGACCTTGGTGATTGGACGTGCAAACTTGCCCGCCGCTCCTGTAATCACCTCTTGTTTGTTTCTTGTCCATGACCGATCCAACAGCTCTTCAACGAGTGTGGTGCAGCCGTGTGGGGCACGTCTTTCACGGGTGCGGATTCCCTCGACCTCCACGCGAGGTGGGGCATCCTCAGCCAGGACGTCAGGGACGTGGAGGTGGTGTGGAGCCCCGTCCACCGTGACGCCCTTGGCCAGCTCCTACTCGAGCAGCTCCAGGTGATGGGCGGGGAAAGCGTTACGCTACAAGGCTGACGCCTTGTCTTTTCATTGGTCAGCCAGTTGGCGCGGTCGATGCTAATTCAAAAAGTACAAACGTACACCGTCGGCATCACGAGTCGGTGTTGGTTGCCAGGCGGCTGTTGTAGAAAGGTTGGGCGGTGGAAACGTGTTTCGTCGGGGCACAGGACAGTAGTCGTACTTTTGTTGCGCGAAAGGCTGCTGGTAGAGCGTGCAGTTGTTCACCCCGCCCTTTTGACTCTTGTCCCATTGCGTATGATAGGAGCTGGAACGAGAGACGAGGCGCCTGTCTTACAAGGGGCGCGGGCGTGCCCCGATCGAAGCTCTGGCCTGGAACGACGCCGCCTGGGAGGTACCGTGGCACAACATGGTCGGAGAGGTGAGGCGTGCTTCTTTGTAGTGAGATGTGTTGGCCGCGGCAAGATACATGGAATGAGGCTCACCATAAGTTTCTTGAAGTGGCAACAAGTTGACCGCCTGAACGACCTTGTTTTGTTTTTCACGGGTACGACGTCGTTGAACCGTGGCCTCCGTTTTTGGTGTGCTTTGGGGGCGATTTCAGGTGAAGGTTGGGCGATACTACCTGGAGCAGTTGATCGCCGACCTGGACAGCTCAAAGGAGAGCTCCAACATGATCCGCCAGCGTCTGGGAAACCCGACTTCTCTTGGAAACTTCCTCCAGTTGTGCCACCTTCGCCTTCTTCACGAGAGGGATGTGAGTGCCCCTCCCCTGTTGTTATCAACTCTGCAAATGTATGCGCGCGAACTCAGGCGTCCAGCAATAATGCCAAGGTGTTGCTTTGTGTGAAGCTCATGGTCTTGGCGTCCCCCCGGCTGGTGCTCTGAACCATCTAACCGATAAGCACGTGGTGCCTTCTATCCGAGGTTGTCTTGTTCACGCTCCACTACTTGCTCGACGGTGAATCAAAAGACTCTTTCGCAGCTAGCTCACGAGTTCATGCACCCTCCCGACCAATCGACACAACCCGTTATTCTTCGCCGCCTATCCGCCCCCCCTGCCTCAGGCGGGCAGCCTAGAGTTAGTGTTCGACACGATGACATGCCTCTTCCAGCATCTAGGCTCGCGCGCGGTGCCCATGCTGCCGTTCCTCGGATCGGTGCTGCACATGCTCACGTATTCCCTGCCGGCTATCCTTGGCCCGGTGGGAGCAGCCGAGGAGAACCCTCTCGACAGCGACGACGAAGGTTCTGAGAAGGATGAGCACGACGGCCTCTCCGGCGGCGTTGATGCGGAGCCCAAGTCCGGCGCTCAGGCCACGGCTACGTACTATGCTGCAGTTCAGGTGATTTTTTGACGTGTGTTACGAGCACGGGATTTGTCTTTTTGGGCTTGACGTTATTATAGGGTGTTCGAGTGATTTCCTAGCTTGTTGTTTGGGGGTGTGCGTGGCGATGCCATGAGAATGGTGTGGATGTGGAGTGCCGAAAATGGTGTGCAGTGGGCTGCATGCTTACCATGCCCGTGGTCGTTGATCGAAGACCCGGTTTCCTTGTAAGACGCCTCAACACACACTTGCTTCTTGCTTCTGCGATTGTCCCATTGTACGCGTTTTTTAGTTGTGTGAAGACTGTTGCTCTTTTAGTTGTGTGAAGACTGTTGCTCGTTTCCCTTGGGCCTGGCTTCCACTCGCACTCGACGTGAGTCCTAACGCGTCGCCTATTTTCCGTGTTTGTCCCCGCTGGTCCACCCCGCGAACTCTATCTCGACGGCCACAACGACGACTGGCTGCAGTTCGTGCGAGTCTGCATGGACAACCAGCCGGCCAACGTCCGCCTGTTCGTGATGCACGGTGGGGTGGAGACCTTCGTCGAGCTAGTAGGCAGCGCCTTCCAGCACGCGCACAGCCTTACCGCGTCCTCCTCGACGGTGACCCCGCTGCCGATCGCCGACTCTGCCCCGGGGGGTGACGGCACCGAGGCTAGCCCGACCGGTTCGTCTGGGTCTGAAGAGCACTTTGGGTCCGCCAAAGGTGGGAGGTTCCCCCGCCGGGAGAGAGCGTCGGACCTTTCGGTGGCGCTCACGTGCAGGGAGCTCGTTGTGGAGTGCATCAGCTGTTTGTCGTCCGCGCTCGAGGTGAGCAACAGGGTACCGTGGTATGTTTGTCGGTGTGTGTTTGACGCCGACGTTGTTGTGGAGTATTTATCACTGGTGAGGGTGTGGGTGATTAGAGCTCGATTCTTGTTCGGCTTCAGAACCGGGTGTGGTGTCCATGATCAAGTTCATGACCAAAGGCAATCATTCGTTGCAGTCACTCCACTTTGGTTGTTTTGCTATTGGCACCCATCTTTACTTCACCTCTGTGTGCTTTACTTCTGTGCTGTTCCCCCCCGTGTGCCCCGCAGGTGTTTCCCGCCCAGGACATGGACGGCAAGATGTTCTTCCCCAAGCCGCCGCCCAAGCGCCAACTCGCCAACCCGATTGCCCTCGCGGCGCTGGTTGACCTGCTCGCCAGCGAGGAAGAAGCCGTCCTGCACCCGGCCCTGACCCTCCTCGTTACGGTCGTGAGGGGGGGCCTGGAGATTCCGCTCTCTGCGGGTGCCCGCGGGCGCATCGTGGTCCGCTGCCTTCGCCACGCGTGCGAGGGGCGCTGCGCCGAGCTCTGTGCCGAGTTGCTCGGGGCGGAGGCTGTGGCGGCACCGCCGTCTCGGCTTTCCGACGGTGGTATGGGTGGCGCAGGTGGGATGGGATGTTGAGGATGGGGTTTTGGGGAGGTGGTTGGTGGTTGTGGATATGCACGGCCAAGGCAGGAGATTTAGGGCAAGAGAAAGAACCACGCGCCGCACGAAGCCAAGATCATTGATCACTATTAGCCGTTCTTGGTCTTTGAGGGGTGCTATTTTCAATTTCGCACCGTTACGCTTCCCGCTATTTGTTTCCCTTCTTGGTGCAGTCGGGCCAGTGTCTGCTCCCCGCGAGGGCGCCATTCTCGCCCGCAGTCCTCTCTACCCGCTGCTTCCTGGAGCCCTCGTACGACTCATGGTCACCAAGGGAGCTCGCGCGTTTGCCGAGGCTCTCCTTGCCGACGGGTGAGTGTTTTTAGTTTATTCGGTCCTCCGGAGGACTGATGGAGGTGTAAATGGTAGCGGTTTTGCACGTGTGCCACGGGTGATTGTTGGGGGGGGTTTCGTGCGCTCAAGCTCCATTTCATTGGCTGTGAGAACTGCAAGCGTTTTAGATAGTGACCTATTTTTACGTCAGACAAGTATGGGTACACGCAAACTGGGGTGCTGTGTTTGACTCAACATTCTGGGGCGGTCACCGTTTGCGCTTTGCAGACTGGAAACGCCGACGGTGGTGTGGAACTCCGAGTGCCGCCACATGCTTGGAGTGGTTCTGCGCGAGCTTGAGGGTGCAACGCCAGGACTGCAGGACGTGCCTGCGATCGAGGTCCATGAGGTACAGTTGTACGCTCGCTTTTCGTCCTCAGCTTCGCCGCGTGTTATGGTCGAGGTTGTCTTTTCGAGTGGTGGTCTTGTGCTTGGCGTATTTTGCCTTCGATTCCGTGTTCCCACCCGGGTGTGGGGCTTGGTTTGTATGCCTGTTCTTGCGTTCACTTCGCTGCCACAGCGGTATCGAGACAACCAAGTGTTGCTGAGTCCTCATGTATGTTGGCTTTGTCTGCGCACCTTTTTGGTTTCTGTGCTGTGGCAGGCTGGACGTCGGCTGGAGGCGCTGTACTCGGAGAAGGGAGGCGTTCCGGTCCTCTTCACCAGCCCCTACTACGTGCAGCTCATGGACGAGGTACGTATGAAGAGATGGGGAGGGTCGTGTCTGTCAAAGAACTCTTGTTCTGCCCGTACATTTCGTGTGTTACGATCATGTATCCATGTCGGTCTAGAGGGGTTCGTGCCCGCTTACTGCGGCTCTGGTCGAAACGACACGGATGCAAAACATGCAAGGACCTGTGTCGTTGATTCTCTGTTGTTGGCGAGGTACAGTACTGTACCAATGGTACGAAGCTCTTTGTGTTTTCTTTCGTTGCCGGCACTTGAGGGTCCCGTCTTCTTCTTCCAAGGAAACGATGACGTCAAGATGATTTTTGGGACACACTCGAGCTTTGCAACGGTGCAGCCCTGGTCGTAGGTATCAAGTGTATCGTGCCTATTTACCCACCGCAAGCGCTTACCCCGGCCGGTACTGTCGGCATCGCCGTGGCCTCCTCTTGGCAGAACTACCGCATCGAGTACCCCGCGGCCTTCCTCCTGGAAGTGGCGAGCTCCATGACCGAGGTGCTGCAGGGTCCGCCCGAGATGCACGAGCTCTACGCGGGGAACGGCAAGGGACGTGTAAGGTGCATCAGCACCCCTCTGGAGAACGAGGTGAGTGGAACCGATTTGTTCCGCCCGTCTACAGCAAAGCGTTTCCGAACAGTGAACAGTGGGGCTCATCTTCCAGGTGTGGGTTAGCAAAGGGTTGTCCCTAACGTGGTAGATAGCAGGGGTAGATGGACGGCCGGTGTGTGGCTCAGAGGGGTGCTCTTGAGTCAGTCGTGATGAGGGCAGTTTTGACTGCCGTGAATCGTGCCTTGTCCCCCATGTAATATGCTGCATTGCGGCGCCCATCTATCTCGCTGGAACGACCTCTGACATGACAGGGGGACGTGATCTACCTGCACGAGCCGCTGCTGTGGACCTTGCGACAGCACGCCACCAACGGTGTCACTGGGCCTGACAGCCTCGCCAGGGCCATCGGGGCCGTTGCGGCACCGCTGTTGGAGATCACGGCTCGCGTCGGTGAGTTCCCCGAACCCTGATCTTGCAATAGTTGGATATCTCGCTGCACGTCAACAGTTTGCGCGTGTCTGCCATGGGGTGGGGGGCAAATCGATTCGCCCATTCGTTGCGTTTGAGCATGGTAACATGATTTGGTTTGTTCGTGCAGCACCCCGTATTTGGCAGCACTGAAACACAACCCCCAACCCTTGCCTCCCGCCGTCAATTTATCGCCTATTTACTGGTGTGTTGCAGCCGTGGCATGCAGCTTCAGTCCAGAGGCTCTCACCTCCCTGGCCAGCTTCACCGAATCCCTCAGCCTCTGCCTAGGCTTCCTAGCCCGCGCCAACAGGCTGTCCGCCCAGGCGTGGAACGCGGTAGAGGGATCGATGGTGCCCCCTGCCCGCCAAGAGACCCAGGGGCGTCGCGCGGGGTCTCGCCGCAGGTCTAGCGTAGGTGGTCGTCGCCGGACCACCGGAAGCGGTGACGGGGGTGAGAACGGTGGGGGCTGGACGGTTGCGGTGGACTTGCGTAAGGTTGACGCGTTGCTGACGATGCTGAAGCAGCTTGACGATCAGGAGAGCGCGGGGCACCTGATGGGCGCAGGAAACCAGGTGCGACTACTGCTGTAGGACTGGGTGTTGTTGTTGTGGGAAAGGGTAGCCGGCTCAATGGGTGATGTGGCCTTCACGCATCAGAGCTCAAGTCCGGCCAAAACGGCACATTTGATGTGTTTTTAGTCGCTTGTTTTGGACTTTGCGGATGGCGAGGTTTTCTTGGTGCCGTCCCCTCTCGTATCCTTATCGTGTGACACTTGTTTTGCCGTGTTCTCGTTCTCTTTGTCGTAGATCCTTCGATCCCTGAAGGAACCAGAGCAGGATCTCTCTTCGGAGACATCGGATGGCGTCGACATCAACCGCGAGGTACGTGCCACCCCTGAAGCGTCCTGCCTTTGCCTTCTGTTGCTCACGTTTTTGCCGAGTCTCTTGTGGCCTGCGCTAGCCCGCCTACATGTGGCCGACCTCGTTCAGCTCGTGCAGTATGGACTGGGGTAGAAGAAGTAACCCATGAGGCGAGAAGGTTTTCTTCATCTTTGATGTTTCCGTGTGTTTGTTTTCTTTGACGACGGGAAAACGCACATGGACGTACGTAATTACAAAGCAAGTTTTGCGACAGCGTGGTATATGACCCCGTGTGGAAACGTCCCCCAATCTTTCTTCCACCCAAGCAATACGCGTGTCCTGATAAATTTTGCTCTCGCTTGCCCCTCTGTGTGTCTGTCTTTGTGCTATTCAGGTCCCCGGCCTGACAAGCTACGTCGGCGGATTGGTGTCCTCGTTGTCCACGCTGGAAGCGCCGACCGCGATACTGGCAGCCACGGAGGGCATCGGTCTCGCTGCCTTGGGCTTGGGCAAGGAAGCCCACATCGACTTGCTCTACAAGAGTCAGGTGAGCGCGGAGCCATGTTTTAGTACTGCGACAGTCGTTTGTTGGTTCTCTCGAGGGTCTCTAGTCGCGGCTAGCCTTGCTGCCGGTTACATCGTGTCCTACCAGGACGAGGGATTGAGATTGTAGTGAGGTAGATTGAAGATTGAGCGACGAGGCTTGGTGGAGTGATTAGGTTCTTCCGGTGTTTGGTATGTTTTGCCATCGTGTTTCTACAAAGTTTAGACGCCAACATTCATGATCTTGCGTTCAGCCTGCTCCTCCATTTTCCAAACTGTTCGCAATCCCTCCCCCTCCAGGTGTTCGTGCCCCTCATCGCGCACTGCGTTCGCCCCCAAGCCTGCGAGGATCGTCCGGGCGGATACCCGGGCCTCGGCATCCAGTCCGCCATGGCCCTCCGGTCGCTGGCGGAAGGCGAGCACGCCGGGACCAACGCGGCTCTTGCCGCGCTCTTGACGCCCGGAGGGTTGGCGGTCCTCCGGCGTTCGGCCGAGGAGTTTGTGCGTGTGTTGCGGTCGTCGGTGCCGGTGGAGACGCCCAAGGTGGTGTGGGGGCCCAAGTGCCGCGACGAACTGGAGGAGTTGCTCAAGCAGGTACGGGGTGTAAGAATGTGTAACGCATCATTTTTCTTGCGACCCTTGTGTCCGGTGAATGAGTAGGTCTTGCTACCAAACCTTACGCAAACCTCCTTGACCGGACTGTACATCTGCAGCTGCAATAATTCTCTCAAAAGAAGGTGACCACCATTTTTATCGGCCTCACAGTCCAAATCTCTCATCTCTCTGTCCCCTGCCTGGTTGCTCGTGGCTTGCGTCCCCCCCCCCCTGTTCGCAGCCCCCAGCCGAAACGGACATCGGAGGACACCGTGGTCTCGGGGCCGCTGTGCCTGCGGTTTATCCCGCATCGGGCCGTTGCCGCAGATTCAAGCCCAGGGAGCTCGACGGCTTTTTGTTCGCGTCTCTGCAGGACGAGCTGGTGGTGGATGACGTGTACCTGAGAGTGCTCGTCCGCGATGCCGAGAGGCAGAGGGAAGCCGGGGGCGACGGGGATATTCGTAGGGCGGCGGCGGCCGCGTCGGGACTCGGGCAGGGTCTTACCCTCCCGTCCGACTTGCTGGTGAGGGATGGCAGGAATCTTGAAGTGGAAACGAAATTGTTTGTGCTGATGACACCACCCACCCGGTTACCGACCTTTTCATTCGAAAAGAAAACAGCAAGTACATTGCTCGATAACCACTTTCGGCCGAGGCACCCAATGTAAGGTTACGCTTGCTGCTGTCGAGGCATGTCTGAGCCTGAACCAACTGCTGTCTCTGCTGTCGTCTGGCGGGCGGCGTTCAGGCATCCGTTTTCGTATACCTGGGGGACCAGATGCGGTTGATTGTAGCAGGCCAGGTGCCCACTGCCACCGCCGACCGCGAGCTCTTCTTCCAGGACGTGTCGCTGCTGCTGCAGGCCTTGCTCGGTCTTGCTGTGGGCGAAGAGCAGGTGCGACACGTTTTTTTTGTTTTATTGTTTGTGAGACCATGGACTATTGCACAATGCACAGCAGTTTTGCATCCATGACCGAGAGGCATCTTATCTTGCTCACAAGCCTGGCCTGCATACCGTCGAGCCCTACTCCATATTCCTATATAAAGAGAATATCCCCTTGCCCCTCTCTCTTCCCTTCCAATCCGCTATTCGTGTGAAGGTGCCCGAGGTAATCGAGGACAGCGGTGAAGCGCTCAACCTCTTGTGGGCGGCCACGCAGCCTTACCTGCGGGACGGCCTCGCTGGCCCCGCGGCGCCGACGATCACGCGCTCCGTCGTCCGGCTGATGCACGTCTTCTTGACCAAGGGCGGTCCGTCCGCAGGCGAGGCTCTGGTTGCTTCGGGAGCTGCGGCGCCGGCGGTCCACGTAAGTCGAGTGACTCCCCCTTGGTGGATGTGCGTGTGTGTGTGTGTGTGTTTTTTGTTTTTTAGAAAGGGTACACACTACATGTCACGGAGGGACGTTTACCCGTCTGAGATTATTATTATACCCCCCCAATCGAAGAGATGCGTTAGTTGAAGACTTTACGGCAGTCAGCGGTGAGGAAGACCTGGTGTTTTGGGAGACACGACACATGTGTCTCGGCGATGCGAGTGGATGGATGTTGACCGGTTTGTTTGTTGCAGCAAGGAGACCACGCTTCGCGAGGTTGCCAGGCCTTGGGTGAGGTCCAAAGTAGTATAACCCTATGACCACACCGCTGCCAATATGCAGCACGTTTCGTCCGAATGGGGCTGCCTTTATGTCTCTGTCGCTAGTATGCCCGATACCTTCCGTGCCTAGCTTGACATGACCCTTGGTTTTCGGTTGACTGCCTTCTTTTCAGGCATGCGGGAAAATGCTGGCCGACGACTACGACCTTAGCGCCTTCTCGCACGAGGATGGGGAAGCCGCCCTGCACGTTGCGGCCATGCTTCTGGACGCCCACCCGTCTGCCGCGGGCCACATGGTTAGCGTCGGTGCCGTCCCGATGTTCCTGTCAAGGTGAGAGAGGAGATGTAGCCGTGAACTAACGGATAGGTGCTTACTCTGGTGGTGGTTTCGGTAGCGGTAACGATGCCAGTTGCGGGGTGTGGTCCGTGCTAAAGCGAGGGTAGTCGAGGAGTCGTTGTTGAAAGACGTGTGCTAGGTGATTGGATGGTTGCGGCGTTTGTGAAAGAATAGCAGTTGTGTTTGGTGTCGCCTGCTGTGGTGTACATGAATGCAAACCCAGGGCTATAGCAAGTAGTCCTCTATCCAGGCACTTTTCTACGATGCTGCGGTTCCAACCCCAACGCGCCGTTTGGACCCCGCCTTGATTTTTCTTGGTCTGACCAGTGAGTGCTTGCTCCCTCCCGTCCTACTCAATCCATCTCCAGGGTCTGCCACAACGACTTCCAGGTGGCCACCCGCCTGCGGTGTGCCGCAATTCTCCACCGTCTGTGCGTGTCGGTCCCTGCGGCCAGCATTGGCCTCGGCAGGGTGATGCCCGAGCTACTCCTGCTCCACCTCGAGGCGGATGGTGCGTGGGTGTGCTTCGCCGTATCTATCACTAGAGAAGAACGGGGGGGGGGGCCTTCGGCGTGCGGGGATGTTGGTAGAAATAGTTATTCATAGGACTCCGCATGTATTTCGCAACAACAGTTTTGGCTGGTATCAGAAAATACGGGACGTAACATGTAAAAAGCAAACAAGACAACACACACACACCCGGCCCTTACAACTTGACTTGTGCCACTAACCCTCACACCCATCCGGCGACCCCCCGTACCGCCCCTCTCAGCCACGGGAGAAAGCCTGTTGAGACACCTCGACGACGAGGCAGTGTCCCCCATCCTCGTCTGGGACACCTCCTGCCGCGACCGCCTCTCCGCCCTCACCTGGGCCCACTGGGAGGACTGGCGCCGCAGGGTTAAGGTCGGGGCCAGCCTGCGCTGGATGCCCGCGTACCTTCCGGAGCAGGTGCTGCTTCCCGACGCCCACTCGAGCGAGCCGTGCGTGGCGGGGCTGTACTTCAGGCTGTACGCCGCCGAGCCTGGGTTTGCCCTCGAGAAGGACATGGTGGAAGGCTTCCTCGTATGTTCGGTGGAGGTGAGGAGTGGTCTTGGTGACGGGGGATGAGTTGGAATCGAAGTGTGACGTCGTTCAACGGGTTGTGGTTGTTGGATCCAACGACGGGCTGAGATACTTGTCTTGTGTTTTTCTACGCTATGTGCGCAAGTTGCGGGGGGGTATATATATATGTGCAAACCTATGTGGGTGTGGCCCTGTTGGAGTGAACGCAATGCACGTGGAGGTTGAGGATCTGTAGCGTTCCGGGCGTGGCTTCGTCGAAAGGTCCCACCTCGACTACACAGGCCAGGCTATGTACCCCACCCACCTCTTTTCTTTGCCTCGACCCTCCCACCTCATCGTTGCCGTCACCGCCGCCAGGCGATGCTTCACGGCAGGGTCGCCGATGAGCTTCTCCCCGTCTTGCTCGAGGCCCTCTACTACGCGCTCGCGTGCCTGGGCGACGGGGCCCTGGCGGGCGCGTCTCGCAAGGCCAACGGCCTGTGGCCCATCGTCTTCTCCCTCATCTGGAAAGAGCTCGGGCTCGGGTCGGTGCGTTACGACCCTTCCCAGCGCCCCCCCCGGGGAGTGGCCAACGAAGTGGCCCCGCAGGCGGACGGCGACCTGTCCCAGGGGGAGGCTATCCTTAGGTGGGGGGCCCGCATCGTGTGCCTGTTGGCATCGGTACCAGTGCACTGGACTGTTGCCGGGGCGGGGGCGCAGATCGTGTCGGACGAGCACGCCCTGGCGATGGTGCACTCTGCCGCGTTGGACGATCACTCTCTGGGGCTGTTCCTGGTTACGGCGAGGTAAGCCAGTAAGCCTGCTTTTTTGTTATTCGGCAAACTGCTGTCGAGGGAGCGTGTGCCGGCGGTGCGTGGCGCCTGGAGAACATTTTATCGCTTCCCCCCCCCCCCCCCCCCCCCCTCTCTCTCTCCCTCTCTCGTCGACAAGCATACTAATACTTACTCTCCCTCGCTCGGCGGCCTACTGGGGTGTCAGCTCGTATCTACTCAGTGCTCTACATATATGCATAGATACGACACAAAATAATAAAATAATGTTTATTGCCCGGCGTTTGTTATCTCTCTCTTGTGTACGACGGACCTCAGGGCTATCGTGGCGAGCAAGACGAACGAAGGGATGGACGTCGCGCACCACTTCGTGAGCCCCCTCGTCCTCCGCGCCCTCGTGGACAAGCTCACCTCGTACAAGCCCCCCGCGGTAACCGGCACGGTCGAGGGCAACAACCGCGTGAGCAAGTACGGCCGCGTCCCTGGCACGGCCAACGCTCCCCCGGCCGAGGAGGTGCCGGAGGAGGAGGCGCCCCCCCCGCCGACGGTCGTAGAAGACCTCGTTGTGAAGCTCCTGGCGTGCCTGATGGTGCACCCGCAACAGGGCCAGCGGGCGAGGCTCGTCGTGCGAGACGAGGTGCCGGAGCGCATCTATATGGCACTGCACCGGGCGGGCTCGGTGCCGGCGGACATCAAGGGCGACTCGGCGAAGGCTCAGCCTCCGCTGCCGCACCGCGACACGGACCACAAGCTCTACCCGAAGAAGGGTAACGCCGCGGCCGGAGCGGCGGGTGCGGAGCCCGTCTTCGCGACCGGGGGCGCCAAGACCCCGCAGTCGCTCACCCGTCCGCTGAGCATCTTCGTCGCTCCCCCGGAGGAGGAGACGGCACCTGTGACCGTGAAGAACGTGGAGCGCGCGGTGCAAGAGGAAGACGCCTCCGTTGCCCCCGCCGCCGTAACCGCCGCCGCCGCCGGGGTTTTCGCCGCCAATGCGGCGAGCGTAAGCGAGGCTTCTCACTCCCAGTCCCCGACCAAGCGCGAGGGTTCTCTGCGGCGAAGCGTTGTGTCCGCCCTCAAGAGCCAACGGGCCGGAGAGAGCCGGCTCCCGTCTGTGGCGGCGAGCAGCAGCGCGACCGGCCGCGACGGGTACGGCGGTGGCGGTGGCGGTGGCGACTTGACGCCGACGGGGAGGGCGAAGGGGATGTGGCAGCGCGCTAGCGTTAGCTGGGCCAAGTCGTCGCTCAACCCCGTCAACGGCGGGAACGTTGACGTCCATGCGGCCAAGGCCATGGCCACGGTGGAGAAGGTGGACGTTGCAAACGAGGAGAGGCCTCTGACCATGCCGGCGTCGTCGCCGAAGCCGAGCCCGACTACGGCCCGGACCATCAGCATGAGGGCCCTGGCGACCAGGCTCTCCCCGAAGCCAGCGCCGGAGCTCAGCCCCGCGCAGTCGGGGACCGGGACCGCGACCGGGAGCGGGAGCGGGAGCGGCGCCAAGGGGCGCAGTGTCATGGGCTGGGGGTCATCTTCGGTGGCATCGACAAGTCCCAGGCCAATGTCGAGCCCAAAGCCTAGTCACGACGGCCGTCGTGGCTTCTGATTGGATGTGTGTAGCACGGGGAGAATAATGAGAGGGGAGGGTTGGTGTCGGAAATGATGGTGTTGTGTGTTTTCCGACCGGATGGAGATGATGATGGGCACACGCAGATGTGCTTTGCAGTCGCCCGCGCGCCTGCTGGGGGAGAGGCCGCCGGCTGGATGTGACGACGCTTGATTGTGTCGGTGTATGATGATGACGATGCTTGCCGCATGTGGTGTTGGTTTCCTTTTTATTTCGGTGTATTGGTTCGTCTGTGTTGCTCTCTACCGAGCCCTCTTTGTGCGAGGCCCTCGAAGGTGGCCGTTTTCTTTTGTCATCGCAAGCAAACTGGGTGTGGGGTGATGGTGGTCGTTGTGGTGATGTTCCCTCGTGTCTTGTGTTGGGCGGCGTGTGATGATGATTGGCGCTCGTATGTTTGGCGAGCCTATTCGGCGTCGGTCCATGCCTGGTCGCACCGCGTTGCTGTCGACCGGTTTGCCGGCAGCCGTCCGTTCGCGTTAGGTCGCTCGTCTGCTGCACTATACGTGAACGAGCTAGCATGGGCCTTTTGAGAGATAGCATTTGAACATAGTCGGACAAGAAGAAGCAAACGATTTGTTTCTAGGATGAAGGAGGGAGAGGGGTGGGGGGTGGGGGGGGGTCGGGATGGAACGTCCATCCAAACGAATTTCGGTGTGAGGGGGGTTGAGTGCATGAGTTTCTGGTTAAATCTTGAGTAATCCTCCCGCCCGTGCGTCTACTTTTCGATCGTCTGACCCAAAGTATATGGTCTTGATGTTGTTTGGACTTGTTTTTTTCTTGCTTTTTCGACGATCGTGCTGGCCGTGGCCAGGTACTGCCGTAGACGGTGATTCCGACTCTTGTCTTATTTTGTGGTACGCATACCATACGTCACGAGCAATTGCTAGTAGTAGAAGTACTGCTCTAGACCGGCCAACTGCTGTCCACCCTTTCTTGGCGGATTTCGAGCACAAAGGGAACAACAGCAGTTGCACTTGTAGGCTCTGTGTCTCGCACTCCTACGTTTGTTTGTTTTTTTAACCACGCAGAGAGAGGTGCCCATTGAGCGTGTACCCGTCTGGAAGGTTCCCGTGCAACGTCCGTCGTCTTGCCTCCTCCGTAACATTTTATATTTCCGTCGGCTAGCTTGCCTGTATTTTTGTATCTGACTACTACGTACAATATCTTGAATGAGTAGAACGTGGACTTTCACCTCAGTCTTCAATTTTTTTTTTCTGTTTGTTTGTGTTACTAGACAGGCAAACATGTTTATCCGTACATGTCTTAGGTATCCCCCCCCCCTCCCCGAGCGCGTTCGAATACGGTTTGGTGCAGCACTCTGCATAAGACGATGTCTACGGTAGTACTTCTGTCTCTCGGGTTCGGCAAGGGACGTTTGTGGCTACGCCGGGCCAGCTTGTCTTCTTCTTCACGCTTGTTCGGGTTTTGTTTGGTTTCTGGTTGATCATATATGCTCTTGGCTGCAGCCGCATGGTCTCCGCATCTGACCCGCGGTTTTTGCGATACGCCTGACTGGTGTTTTTTTATTCCGTCGCGAGTCACGATTT